GGTTAACTTTAAAGATGTTCTAAGTTACAACCACTTCACGCGAATGGCTTGTAAAAGTTACACTGAATGCAGGACCGGGGTAGTTTGATAAAATAAGGTTTCACAAAGCTAGAAAATCACTGATGCTTGTTTAAGCAATGGGACTAGTTCATGCACGAAAACCCTATTTAATGGAGATGATATTTGATATTAGACATGATCATGTACACATATTTTAGCATTTTGTACTGCTAATGAACTGCTATTTTACTTACTGTATAAAAAATGGATTAAAAATTCATTTGCTGAAATTAGTAAACGTCAAAAATTGAAAAAAAAAATTCGGATTTTGATGGTTTTGCATGCCTTCGAGCGTTCAGAATTATGTCAGTTCACAATTATGTCCGTTTATGTAAATGTCCGTCCAAAAATAAGGTCCGATAAGGACCTTATTGTCACGTTTTTGTGTGCTTTTGTTGTTGTAATATTGTTCACTTTCTTTGATAGCAAATGTACAACTTCAGTGGTTAGTCGTAAAGAACTTTTTAGATAAGGAACAAGTTCGCATTGTCATTGAAAGTTAACTGTTACCACGGTGGTGTAGTAAACAAATTTTGTTTCTTTGTTCACACGATTTTTTACATGCTTTAACAGTTTGTTTCTTCTTCTTTAGGTGTGAACTTTGGAGTTCATTTGTACTTTATAGTATGCTGTTCAATTGCTTTAATCACAGCAAGCATATTTAGTTGTTGATAGGCACAGACGTCCATTAACTAGAATCATCCTTGGTACAATTTGGATCTTCAATTTGCCGATTAATGTCATTTTCAGGTAAGGGATTATTCAACTCTTGTAGGTCAGCCTCTTCGGTTTCTAGTTCTGGAAACTGACTCATGATCCCACTCTAGTTGTTCTGGAATCTGGAGGATCGAAGTTTCGTGTAGCCACGTTCTTCACAGCCTTAAAGATCATTGTGGCACATCGGATGTATTCTCGAATTTCTGTGTCAAGTTTGTAATCGTAATCTCCTACTTATGACAAATTCGGACATGGTTCATAAAAGTTGGACAAAAGGCGTGCTGTCCCTTTCTTCTCGGGCGTCACAAGTGAACCCAGTTTCCCGCGTTCAAACTGCTTAATGATTCATCTGTTTGTCAAACTGTGCTTTGCAATTTCTCTGCTTCTTTTAGATGGAGTTCAACCATCCAGCTATAGGTCGATCGGAGCATTTGTACAATTCGTAAGCATTCACTTCTGGTCTCAAATTTCTTTTGAGGGAAATTGTCCCTGAAAATGTTTGTCCATGGGTTGCTTGGCAAGTTGGGCCTGTGTGTAGAATTGAGGACTAAATCCGTGTCCTTTCGTTTTTGACGTTTCGATAGGCGAACATTACTTGTTGCATACATTTGAGGCCAAGTTTGTGGCTGTTCAGAACAAAACTTTTGAGCTTGTTTTTATCACTTTTTACCCATCGCTCACTTCCCTCCTTTCGTTTTCGGAGTGTATGCACAAGTATGAGATTGAGAATGATTAATCATTCCTAGCAATTTAAATACGATATGAGCACCTCTGAGGTTGAATTGTGGCCCTCTGTCAGTATGACATTGATTAGGTAGCCCATCACCTAGAAAATCAGGGTGTCTAACAATGTTTGTGTGTATCACTGCACTCGGTTGTTGTTTTCAGTTGGAACAGCTTTGCCCAACCAGTGTGATGTCAATGATGACTAATATCCTTAGGTACTTTTCTTTATTATTGGCAAAACGGACCCCAGAGATCGAAAACGATATGATATCATTGGGGTGGAGTTCCTTAAACTGGTGATAAATGCGTTTCGGTTTCCTTTTCTGGCTTTTTAAAGTGCATGTCGCATCGAACGATATATCAACGAGACTTGTAACTCAGATTTTGGAAGAAAGAAGAATTAGTTCTCTGATTTCTTCCTCAAAGTTTTGTGTAAATTCGAGAAGGCCCCGAAGCGGCGAAGCGGGTAGATCGTGACAGAATTGTTATATGACTGTTTCGTGATAATATTTTGGGTAAGATATCAACCTTACTGTTTAGCGATACTGTTGCCTCCCAGCTTCTTACAAACATGTCTATTATTTTCAATCGGTCAAAGATGTCCGTTAATTCTTCAGGTCAGGGTTTTAGTTTTTGAGTTTTATTTGAACTTTTTGGGCGTTTTTTCCCTCCTCCTACCATTTTCTCACAATGACAGCACAGGTCATTTTTTGCGCTTTCTAAACAAGACAGTTTTTTCAATACATTTTTAGCTTTGATGACTGCTCTTTCCGGCGTGTTATTTGAATGTCACTTTCGCCCGGACTGTCTCCGGAAGGTGAATTTTGGACGCTCCTCACATTCTGCTGTGTTTTTTCTTAATGCAATACTGAGTTTATTGGCATTATCTGCAGTACTGTTTCAACTGTGATATTATTGCAGTGGTTATATTGTAAGTAGATATGGACAGGTTTTCTTCTATTGGAGCGTTTTCAAAACTTCACCTTTTTTTTTATCGTAGTTTTCAAATTCTTCATCTTTATTGTAAGTTCTTTGAGAGGGGACCGGACAGAGATACACTTTATTGGTGAAACATGGAAAGGCTTAAAATAGTAGCATTTGGTGTAACATAATCAAACAATATAACACTAACAGTCCTACTTCCGCCGGGCATTAGGTTGGTCAGACCAGGCACCGTGGTGGTAATCTACAGTAAAAAGGAAGGAAAGCATTGGTGGTGACGAACAATCCTGCCACAGAAGTCTTAAAACGATGCGACCTTGTCAATTGTCTTAGACTTCTGTAAACATTGCTATATGAAAGGTGAGAAACCAGACCCATGGTCCACTGCCATACATTATTACCAATTCCAAGGAAGGGCGACCTTAAGCGAAACCTATGAAACTAATTACTATCGGGGAATAAAGCTTTCAATCCTAGTGCCAATCAGTGAAGGGGTTGCCTGATTTATAGATAGGAGTGGTTAATACTGGTATTTATGCCATGGATGTCCAAATATGAGGGGTTGGTTGGTAGACATCAATGTATTACTGAATGGAGTTGGGTTAGAAACATACTAAGAGATACGATGGTTAACTGTAGAAGCTTTCAATAAACATGTAGTTGGGGGGGGGGGGGGGGGGGGGGGGGGTTCACCTGATTTTTTTGTGAAACGGGATTTCGAGATAGCAGTTGATCAACAAACTAGGACCGGTGACCGAACTTTTCAGGGGGTCCGAGACCCCAAACCGCCAAACGGTGCCCACGGGGCAGCCTCGCCCTTATTTGGTCCCAATTAGGGCTCAATTTAGCATAAATACCCAGAATGCCCATAACCCAGATTTGGGTGCATACTTGTAGCTAGTGGTCTTCTGATCTTTCGTATATGAATTTTACATCAAACTTAAAAATTTGGCGGCATAATTCTGAAAAATAAAATGCCAGGAAAAGTTTTGGATTTGGCGCAAATTTCAGTACAAAATTAAGTCGAAATGCGATTCTACGTTGATTCTGAAAATTTCATATTGTAAAAATATTGGAAACCCTATTGAGTTCTTTGTTTTGAGCGAAATCAGTTTTGCCAAATATCGCGAACTGAGATATTGGCGATGTTGTTCATTTTTGCGATTATTTAAACACAGAATCCACAGTTAGTTAGTACTGTGCTGATAATCATAGAGGAATGTGTAGCTATGGCTTACCTTCCATATAAAGTTGGTATTTCATTCAAAAATATTGATATATGACAATTTATGGGCCAAATCGATCATCGATAGCTGATGGTGGTATGCCCAATTATGGTCATTATGGTTTTTGGCTCATAACTCAGTCATTTTTTGTCCAATCTTGATGAAAAATTAATATACGAGTTCCAGCCGACCCACTAAGCTCCAAGTTAAAGCACCTATATCTGGTTTATGGGGCATGTTCTGGGTATTTAGCTAAATTGAGCCTAATTTGGACCAAATATGGGCCGTGCTGCCCCGCGGGCACCGTTGGCGGTTGGGGTCCGGGACCCCCTCAAAAGGTCGGTCACCTGTCCTAGTTTGTTGGTCAACTGCTATCTCGAAACCAAGTTTCACAAAAAAATCCAATCCCCCCCCCCCCCCCCCCCACCCCCCCCCCCCCCCCCCCCACCCCCCCCCCCCCCCCCCCCCCCCCCCCCCCCCCCCCCCCCCCCCCCCCCCCCCCCCCCACCCCCCCCCCCCCCCCCCCCCACCCCCCCCCCCCCCCTCCCCCCCCACCCCCCCTTAATCGTTCGTCAGCTGAATGTGTTGGGGTGGACAATGTTATATGTGATGGAGTGGTGTCAAGGATGGAGGGTTCGGGGGGGGGTGTGTCCAATGTCAATAAAATTTAGGCTTCTGTTGAGGTTGAGAAGAGAAATGCCAGATGGTCTGGACTTTAAGGATTTGGGCCAATCTTTAGGAAGGATGGGGGTCCCAGAGGAAAACTCATTTGGGTGCACGGTCTGTTTCGGTCATGCTGGTGTGTATTTGTATAGCTGCGTGTTCTGTGAGGTCAACGATTGGGGTGCGTGAGGTGAGGAGAGATTTTGAGGGACTTCGATATTGTTCCAGGAGATGGTTGTGGCCGGTGGTCAGGGCATGATGTGCAGGGGTGATTGATTCTGTCTGTGGATTCGTCAATGGCCGATTCTTGTTGAGTCTGTTAACATCGTTCGTGTTCTGTCATGCGGTGAAATCAAGGTCTGTTAAGTCTGTCCGGGTAATTTGAGGAGCACTGTGAGCAGGAAATTTTCGTAGATGGAGGTTGGGCGTGAGATGAGTAGGGGGTGTGGTCTTCGTTTTGGTGTGGAGGTTGCGAGGAGTAGACAGGAGTGGGTTGTGATTTGATAGTAGTGTTGTCCGAAGTATCTTGCGGTATGGGTTTGGATAGGGAGGGATGGAAGGAAGAAAAAACACAAAGGGCATGTTCACGGGTCTGTCGGTTGTGAATGAGGGTACGGGATTGGTGGACGAGGGGGGTTGGTGAATTTCCGTTGTACTTCGTCCATGATGGTGGTGATTGCTGGTGGGGTGGGTATGGTTCTGGGAGGCAAACGTGTCGTACTGTCTGGAAGTTCCTCCGTCAAGGTGTTGGGGTGCGCAGATGTTGTGGCTCTGGTGGTCAGGATAGGCAGACTGCGGTCTTCAGTTGACTGTGAGTGGTGCAGGATGGAGTACTTGGTGATAGAGGTTGGTGTGGGTGGTTTTCTGTAGACTGATGTGAGATTGTCAGGGTGGATGGTGAACGTCAAGGAAGGGTATAGTTTTTATAATATAATATTATATTTATATCTCCAATGCAATATTTTTTTTAAAAACTATTTTAGACGATTTGAAATAAAGAAATATTTATTTGAATAATAGTGACGACTTGACAGACTTAAGGCACTTAGCCTCGAACGCAATTGTGGAGAAATTTATTTTGAATTTGTTTAGTTGATAATTTTAGCTTTAGTTAAATTTTGGCATAATTTTTGATAATTTCAGTTTAAGTTCCATTTTTTGACATGTTTAGTAAGTTCTTCAGTTCTGCAAGTCTTTTACTTTAAGTAGGACTTATCAGGTCTTTGGTTGTTCATAGTAAACTACTTTGGATTTGTGTTAAAGTTTGATGTTATAATGCCATGGATAGTCCTCTAGAAAAGATGATGCGGTTGGAAAGTTGGTTTTCTTTGACGATAATGAGAAATCGGCTGTCTCGGTGTCATTGCATCAGTATGAGTACGTGAGTCATCAGACAAAAAAGCTAAGAGACTTGCATTGAGCGGGATATAAATACTCATTTCATTTAATAATTCGCTTTGGTCAACATTCTTGGATGTCGATCCACTCGTTTTTTACCAAGCGCAGGTAAAGGTGCCTTTAGTTCAAATTAGGGGCATTCCTTGATGTTTCCGGTTTGGTTACCATGTAAAATAAGGGTGGCACCAGAGCAAGTCCTCCGGGGCGTACCAATGGTCAACAGTGCCTGCTCACAACAATTCGGTAATAAGTGGCGTACAACGGGTAATTAAAGTGTACAAGGGTTACGATAGTGACGTGTGTACAACGGTATTAGAAATACACGGGCACGATTCTGAAGTATCGTTCCCCCCCCCCCCCCCCCCCCCCCCCCCCCCCCCCCCCCCCCCCCCCCCCCCTTCCCTACACTGATACTGCAAATCTTCTAGCTCTGCCAACTTTAACTCTACAGGCTTCTGAGTTGCCGAACAACTTTAAATGATCGAATGACTTGATCGAGTCTAGTAAGGTAAGAACAAAGGAAACAGGGGTTCGTACAATAAGTCTCGAAAAGGTAATAAATTACTATTAGATCAGTAAACCAAGATAGCGACTCGGAAGGCCCGGCTACACTGTCCTCGGAAGCGGTAACTTTTACAACTTACCGTTAAATGGCTTTCCGGGGAAAAAAAAGAACTGCCGGCTAACGAGGGCAAGCAAAACCTACCAGCATGGTGTCACGTGACTTCACATGGCGAACCACGTGACACCGCGAGGCCCAGTCAGTCAATAACCTAACCTTAACTAGCTAACCTGGACTAACACTGCCTTCCTCCGCTCTAATTAAATAGTTTCATGTCCGATCCCTAAAGCTAGTTTCATAGTACCAGTTTTACAGTATGCAGTAATGTAATGAATGTTGCAATCACTGTTTGAGTATTCTGTATGTGTCCGCAGTAATTACACGACTACAACATTTCCATTCTTAGTCAGGGCGTTGTTTTAGTTAAGAAAACTGTTTAACTTGAGAACTTGGTGAGAGTCATAATGACCCCCCTGCCCCCTTAACCCTGCAAACAATCAATTACCTCCAATAACAAGTTTTCCTAATTGATTACTAATAGCACTAATATTTCAGACAGGAGGCAGTAGATCTCTAGTAAAAGCAACTAAAAGGCTGTGGTCTGAGGAAGGTATATACATGTTCACTAAAGGACTGACAGCTCGAGCCCTCTCAATGTCCACAAACTCCCTTCTCATCATACTTGGTTACGAGAGTGTAAAGCGACTTAGTTATAAATATCGGACAGATGAAGTGCAGGAGACCTCCCCATATTAGTTTGTTACCATAGTAACATAGCATATTGGTGGGAGTTGTTTTTTAGCTTGTGGAAATGTCCAGAAATATTCTTCCAGAAAGGAAGTTACCCAGAAAAGTGGCTCTTTGTTAGGTTTAAAGTTGATTTTGTTATTAATTTTTAACAATCATCCTACAGAACTCTTTATAAAGCATACTCTGTTTATTTTCAATCATTTCATCCATCGCATTGTTTGTTAACATAGCAAAGTCAGAAACTTTGCAGTGAAACTCCAGACAACATTCCGGCGTTTGGCCCTATTTTATGAGTTTAGTTACCTTAGTTACCTGTCAAACAAATCGAGATTTTACAGGAACTAAACTGGGAGTTTCACTGATATTACTACATTGCATATAACAACTAATAATATTTCCTTGCATATAACAACTAATAATATTTCCTTGCATATAACAACTAATAATATTTCCTTGAATATAACAACTAATAATATTTCTATTTCTTGGATTACCCTGTGTCGACGATTGAGTCGTGGATTATGAATCGTTAAATCATTTATATTAGATTTATAAATACAAGTTTAAATAAAACATGGAATTAGCAACGAGAAAGACATTCTTAAAAAGTGTATGTGAAGGTACGAAAATATGTCGTGTAAATCCTTTGAGTGTTTTTAATTTTTACAGCGGCCCATTGAAAATTATAATCAGCTATCTGTAAACAATATACACCGTGGCCTACTCGCAAGAGGACGTATTTTCTGTAAACAATTTATAATTATATCTGAGTTACGTTGATTTTAATTTATTCTGATTTGCAGAAAAACATACGAGTCTTCCTTTATATCAAATCTTAGCACAAAATAGTGATAAACATTTAAATATTCAATGACACAAGTTTTTTGAATTACGCTTCTGCATTCTGCAACTATAATATAGGAAGTGAGTTGCAAATCACTCCAGTCGTCCATTATATTGGCCCCTATATAGGCCCCTATATAGGGCCCTATAAATGTACACAATATTGACGTCCTATACCCGTAGGTATGACAGATACAAAAGACAGGTTCTCCCAGACCCCGGAAGCGTACCTCCAGTCCCACCACGTGGTTTCCTACCTGAACCACGCTCTCACCACTCTATACACCGTCAAGGACTCCGACCCTAAACTCCAGCCTTTCCGTTATCTGTCAGACTACTTTGCACGTGTCAGCGCGGGTAATCATGTGATACACCAGGATTACAGTTATGTCTCCATTAACCCGCACAACAGGGCTAGTTTTGTGAAGCTATTCTGGAGGGTTTTTAAGAGTATAGGTAACCATGGCGACCTCCTCACTGCTAAGGAATACCATGCCCTCATGCAGCTGCTTTGTCCTGATTTCCCTTTTACTATTGTCCAATCTGCTGCCCGGATAATCCTTATGGACGATGCTATCTCGGACTGCTTGATGGCTTTCCAGGACTTCCTCTACGCGTTTCAAGTGCAGTTCTGCTACAATGAGTTCCTTAACTCGTGCAGGGAGCTGTATTTGTCTCTGTCGTCTGATAAAGGGGCGGCTACCGGGGGCACTACCCCCCGACTAGAAGGGGTCGAGTCTAGTATATTTCTAGACGGTATAACGGATCTAATAGCCAATAACACGTACCACCATCCCTCCATTAGGGTGGTACACAGAGTCCTCGGCAAGTCCCTCAAACCTTCATTTTACACATACTTGCTGGGCATTGCTAATAGTGACACTATTAACGCCAGTATTGGGGTACTACCCAAGAAGGCACAGTGCCTCGACAGTGATTCAGCAGCCAAATCCACTAAATCAGACTCTTGAGCTTCAACTTGCAGAAAATTGTTTATTTGTATAAATTATATAAATGTTTTGTAAATATATTCAGATGTAAATATGTTAAAAGTTATGTAGACGCAGTGTTGACTATGCTTAAGTGCAGTGTAGACTCTGCTCCTATATATTGTATTGGTATTTGTTACCGTTACTAGGACTAGATAATGAGAGATCACTCTTAGATGTGGCTAATATATTGCATCATCATTACTATTACTATTGTGTAGATATTTTAACTTGATGCGCTAATGCGAAATTTAAGACTCCATGCTATTAATACATCTTGCATCGTAGGTCAAGCCTGCGCATCTTAATGGTCCGTCTGAAGTACCGATACTTCTTGACTTCGCTCCACTACTTAGATTCTAACCTTGATCTGCAATTGACGGGTCAGATCCTGCAGAACGCTATTTACAATTCAATCGAGGAGAATTACGGGCAGTTTGGTCTGGGACACGTGCAGGGGCGGATAAAGATAGTGTATCTGGGTCTGTTGTCAGGAACTGCTCTGATAAGGGTACCTGCAGACTTTGAGAAACAGTCACGAGTCTCACTGAGCAGCTTAGTTGTGGTGAACAGTAAAAGATGTGTACTGAACGTTATACACGTCGGAGGGACTATCAGATCTTGTCAGAAGCAGCTGGTGAAACATAATGTTAACGTTCTACACAGACAGATGCTAGATACCCATGATGTTAGAGAAAGAGAGCAGATTAAAGGCGTTTTAGAAGAAACTCTGAAAGATATCCGCAACTTGGCTGTTAGCTGACGGGTTCAAATCTCGAAACATGGGACATTCGGATAATATTAACTAAAAGTACTAGCACGTTTTGGTGGCTTAAGCAAAGAAAAGGAACGCGACGGTTACCAGCGAATTGAGATAAAATGGTGGCGCGCAACACGTAACTTCGCTCTATCGAGGGTAGTTCAAGTTTCCTATCCCACTGTGTCGAGATTCGTTCAGAACAATTTTATACTGGTTTATCACTGACTTGGTCGCCCGATGAATCAATGTATATTAATTTATTGATGTTATAAAGTTTAAACACTTTTCTATGCTTATCGACTTCCTTTTATTCTCTAATGTCGGAATCTGACGAGATTGTCACGTGGAAGTTATTGTATCTAATCAATCTTAACCAACTATCCCCCAGACCATGGCTGTTTCCACGAATGTATCATTTCTCCTGTCCTCTGTCCTGGCTATCACTACCCTGGCAGCTAGCCAGACTTTTAAAGGTCAGCTTGCTGAAACTAAAGGGATGACCATACTCGGCGGGGGGATTGCCTCCATGTTCTTTATGTTCGTACTGACAGCTATCGGCAACCTCGAAGGTATAATGATGGGGAAGGGATTCGAATTACAGCTCATTCCTGAAGGTAATACTGAATTGCTTGCGGAGCATCTTGCTAAGTATCTCCTGTAGAGTTAATATTTCATTTTGATTGTTTTGTGGGTATTCCCTTTGTTATAATCTCCTCAAATTCAGACTGCTAAAAGCGATATAAACATTACTTTATCTTTCTCAAGTTGGAATCGTTAATGGCTACATGTTGGTGACCCATTTCTAATTATTATTTTATTTCAGTTGCGTTTTCTCTAGTTCTCTCTTTGGTTGTGGCTGGTTCCATTCACAGAGTCTCAATAACATGCTGGTAAGTGAGAGATTACCTCATTTGGTAATGTAACTACTGTGATATTACCTCATAAAGTATTTATCAGCTGGTACCACTGGTTAATAAAGTTAGAAGGTTGTGGTAGCGGGGGGGGGGATCAGGTACTAAGTGCAGTACGTGACGTCGACTAAGTGCAGTTTTTGACTTTACAAAAGGGACCCACCCACCCCCTTCACGGTACTAACTGCTTTTTTCGGATAATATTTAGGACCCCATCCCCTTTTGGCGGCTTTGCGGTATAACTGTTGAGAAATCACGGTACTAACTGAGTCTGGGTATATGAAATAAGATACCCACCCATAAATTGCTTTAAACAGCTCATTAAACATTGGAAATGGGCAAATTATACCCACTATTCAGTAAGGGTTTTGTTTTCAATGTAGTCGAATTAGATAAAAAGTTACAAACAAATTTTAAAAATTACAAAAAAACTCAAATAACCTATTCCCAAAATTGAAATTAGAGGTAAAATGGGTTTTTTGGGGTTGGACACCCAAAAAATGAACCCCTTAATTCCATGTACTAACTGTTTTTCTGGGAAATGAACAGCAGACCCACCACTAATAGAACAAGAGTACTAACTGCGTTTTGGAAGAAAATATGACCCACCCAACGTCACGTGCGATTCTGACCATATGATCCCCCCCCCCCCCCCCCCCCCCCGCAGATAGGTATATGATGTTACGATACTACTGTTGTTAATTTGGATCACCTTTTCTGTTTCACTACAGGTACTACCACTGTACATGATAAATACATAATATAAGGTATAAACTATTATCCCACTAGTATGGGTACTGGCTATTTGTTTCAGCTGATTAACTTGACCCCCCCCCCCCCCCCCCCCCCCCCCCGTATGCTATTAACTACTAACTTTTCAGTGTAATATTCTCCCTGGTTATCCTCTACTTTATGAACAGTATCTCTCAGAAGACTCACGGTGTATCAGAAGCTGCTCCTACTAAACTGGAGAAAAAGAAACGAAGATAACTCTCTTACTATAAAATGCACAATAATAAAGCTGTGAACTTATTAACCAGCATGGTCACGCTCGACACTACTAGTACTAATATTGGGGTTAATGCATTTATTTTGGATTATGACAATTTCAGATAATTTATTTTTACTATGAGTTTAAACCTTGATCTGTGAGACGAATATTTTTACTTCAAATAAGTTTTGTGACATAGTGAGCCATGTTTGAATTGTACATTGTAATGTGTATATTGAAGAGTTGTATTAAAAATATCCAGTATTCCGCCTTGTACCTTATTGTCACTAACCTGGGTCAGGTTACACTTGACTAGGAGACTTTTAACCCGAAGTAAAAAAATACTACTCTAACTTCAAATTGATCTTGGTAATTCTACCACGGGATCATGATGATATCTCCCTCTTTAATCTAGCCTTGGTACGAGTTCCATATCTCCCTCTTTAATCTAGCCTTGGTACGAGTTCCATATCTCCCTCTTTAATCTAGCCTTGGTACGAGTTCCATATCTCCCTCTTTAATCTAGCCTTGGTACGAGTTCCTTATCTCCCTCTTTAATCTAGTCTTGGTACGAGTTCCATATCTCCCTCTTTAATCTAGCCTTGGTACGAGTTCCATATCTCCCTCTTTAATCTAGCCTTGGTACGAGTTCCATATCTCCCTCTTTAATCTAGCCTTGGTACGAGTTCCTTATCTCCCTCTTTAATCTAGCCTTGGTACGAGTTCCATATCTCCCTCTTTAATCTAGCCTTAGTACGAGTTCCGTATCTCCCTCTTTAATCTAGCCTTAGTAAGAGTTCCGTATCTCCCTCTTTAATCTAGCCTTGGTACGAGTTCCATATCTCCCTCTTTAATCTAGCCTTGGTACGAGTTCCATATCTCCCTCTTTAATCTAGCCTTGGTACGAGTTCCATATCTCCCTCTTTAATCTAGCCTTGGTACGAGTTCCATATCTCCCTCTTTAATCTAACCTTGGTACGAGTTCCTTATCTCCCTCTTTAATCTAGCCTTGGTACGAGTTCCATATCTCCCTCTTTAATCTAGCCTTGGTACGAGTTCCATATCTCCCTCTTTAATCTAGCCTTGGTACGAGTTCCGTATCTCCCTCTTTAATCTAGCCTTGGTACGAGTTCCATATCTCCCTCTTTAATCTAGCCTTGGTACGAGTTCCATATCTCCCTCTTTAATCTAGCCTTGGTACGAGTTCCTCATCTCCCTCTTTAATCTAGCCTTGGTACGAGTTCCATATCTCCCTCTTTAATCTAGCCTTGGTACGAGTTCCATATCTCCCTCTTTAATCTAGCCTTAGTACGAGTTCCATATCTCCCTCTTTAATCTAGCCTTGGTACGAGTTCCATATCTCCCTCTTTAATCTAACCTTGGTACGAGTTCCTTATCTCCCTCTTTAATCTAGCCTTGGTACGAGTTCCATATCTCCCTCTTTAATGTAGCCTTGGTACGAGTTCCATATCTCCCTCTTTAATCTAGCCTTGGTACGAGTTCCATATCTCCCTCTTTAATCTAGCCTTGGTACGAGTTCCATATCTCCCTCTTTAATCTAGCCTTAGTACGAGTTCCATATCTCCCTCTTTAATCAAGCCTTGGTACGAGTTCCATATCTCCCTCTTTAATCTAGCCTTGGTACGAGTTCCATATCTCCCTCTTTAATCTAGCCTTAGTAAGAGTTCCATATCTCCCTCTTTAATCTAGCCTTGGTACGAGTTCCATATCTCCCTCTTTAATCTAGCCTTGGTACGAGTTCCATATCTCCCTCTTTAATCTAACCTTGGTACGAGTTCCATATCTCCCTCTTTAATCTAGCCTTGGTACGAGTTCCTTATCTCCCTCTTTAATCTAGCCTTGGTACGAGGTCCATATCTCCCTCTTTAATCTAGCCTTGGTACGAGTTCCATATCTCCCTCTTTAATCTAGCCTTGGTACGAGTTCCATATCTCCTTCTTTAATCTAGCCTTGGTACGAGTTCCATATCTCCCTCTTTAATCTAGCCTTGGTACGAGTTCCATATCTCCCTCTTTAATCTAGCCTTGGTACGAGTTCCAGTGCAACAGAGCAGTGTGCTTGGTAGCCGCACAGACAGACACCACCCTATTATTATTCATTGGTTCCTGATATTGTCAGACAAACTACAGTCCAGTGTTAGCCGGGACCCGACTCTCGGGGCCACTACTCTCTGGGACCCGACTCTCGGGGCCACTACTCTCTGGGACCCGACTCTCGGGGCCACTACTCTCTGGGACCCGACTCTCGGGGCCACTACTCTCTGGGACCCGACTCTCGGGGCCACTACTCTCTGGGACCCAACTCTCGGGGCCACTACTCTCTGGGACCCGACTCTCGGGGCCACTACTCTCTGGGACCCAACTCTCGGGGCCACTACTCTCTGGGACCCGACTCTCGGGGCCACTACTCTCTGGGACCCAACTCTCGGGGCCACTACTCTCTGGGACCCGACTCTCGGGGCCACTACTCTCTGGGACCCAACTCTCGGGGCCACTACTCTCTGGGACCCGACTCTCGGGGCCACTACTCTCTGGGACCCAACTCTCGGGACCACTACTCTCTGGGACCCGACTGTCCAATGTTAGCCGGGACCCAACTCTCGGGGCCACTACTCTCTGGGACCCGACTCTCGGGGCCACTACTCTCTGGGACCCAACTCTCGGGACCACTACTCTCTGGGACCCAACTCTCGGGGCCACTACTCTCTGGGACCCAACTCTCGGGGCCACTACTCTCTGGGACCCGACTCTCGGGGCCACTACTCTCTGGGACCCAACTCTCGGGGCCACTACTCTCTGGGACCCGACTCTCGGGGCCACTACTCTCTGGGACCCAACTCTCGGGGCCACTACTCTCTGGGACCCGACTCTCGGGGCCACTACTCTCTGGGACCCAACTCTCGGGGCCACTACTCTCTGGGACCCGACTCTCGGGGCCACTACTCTCTGGGACCCAACTCTCGGGACCACTACTCTCTGGGACCCGACTGTCCAATGTTAGCCGGGACCCAACTCTCGGGACCACTACTCTCTGGGACCCGACTCTCGGGGCCACTACTCTCTGGGACCCAACTCTCGGGGCCACTACTCTCTGGGACCCAACTCTCGGGGCCACTACTCTCTGGGACCCGACTCTCGGGGCCACTACTCTCTGGGACCCGACTCTCGGGGCCACTACTCTCTGGGACCCAACTCTCGGGACCACTACTCTCTGGGACCCGACTGTCCAATGTTAGCCGGGACCCAACTCTCGGGACCACTACTCTCTGGGACCCGACTCTCGGGGCCACTACTCTCTGGGACCCAACTCTCGGGACCACTACTCTCTGGGACCCGACTGTCCAATGTTAGCCGGGACCCAACTCTCGGGACCACTACACGACAGTTACAGACAAAAGTGTAGTCTTCTGAGAAGAATAATTACGGAAACATCTTCTGAAGGCTCTTTTGCTAACGGAGTAGAACTATAACAGATAACTACAGAACATGTCTGTCCTACGTACGTACGTGAATCACTCAGATGATAAACTCCTCAGTACTGTCCCATACCACAAACAAACCTTAATATCACGCCATGCGATACATGCGCGCGTTGTTGCCTGCGTGCTGCGTACAAATGTATACCTCTAAGTCCTTTGGAGTTAGCGCTCAGATCGAAACAGCTAATTTGATTTCGGGGACCTCCTTAAATCATGCCTGTAGCGTCGAATGTTTGTTGGAACTGATTACACACCGTTTTTAATGTAATATATAAAAGTGAAATATTATTACATGAGAACGATAATAGTGGATTGAAATTGGTGTCTACCATAAACACTACACAAGTTAATAATTTAATTTGTATAAATGGTTAAAAATAGGTAGGAAGAATAATTACTGACATCTCAATACTTCTTCTTTCAGTAAAATAAATTCATCATATGCTCTTCCATGCAATGCAGATTCAAGCGATTCTAAAGAATTAGTAACAATTTCTAACGCCCCAAATTCCATCAAACATTTAAATGTCTCTACCAATGACACTGGACCCCCCTCAACATTAGCGTTCTGGGATATAAAGTTGGCAGTAACAGATGTCAGATCATCTTCTGACCAGTTTGTTTGTTTGAAGAAGTGTCTGAAGATGTCAGAAACAAGATGTTTGATGTGTTGTCGGGATTTGTCCCTCAACGAACAGTACAGTACCTGTTAAACAGTTTATTATTTACCAAGTCTGGAACGAGTAACGCTCAAAGTCTGCTATTAATCGTCAAATCAAGCTAGCACGTACAGATTATAATCATTCAGAAATCAGGAAATTAAGTTATTTGCCTAACGAGTAACATGTAGAAGCAAAATAAGCGCTCACCTGTAACAGAAAAGGATAAAGTTTAGTAAAATCACTCAGGAGAAGCGCTCTATCTTTAGTGGATTGTTCCAGCTTGCTAATGAAGTACAGTAGACCTGCTATATCCTCCTGAGTATTAGGGAGTTTACAGTAGGCAGGCTCTCTGATATGGTCCATCAGGACCTGCCTGAAGGAGCGAACAGAGTCCTCAACCTCCTCCGCAAACGAGGAAGTGAACAGTGATACGAGAAACGGGTCCTGCTTCCCTGCACTCCAGTCTTTCTTTGCAGCTTGAGCGTATACTTCATCAAACACCTTCATTATATGTTTGAGAAAGAGGTTGTTCGATCTGTATGATATCCTGGAGAGGCCCCAGAAGATGTTGGGTAAAACTAGGAACATTTGCAGTTTGTTTTGCTGCTCTCGTTTCAGGACGAATGTTTGGAAGAGGACGAGGATAGGTGAGTTGGGTCTACTTGGGTTGTATAACAAGTTGGGTATTTTCAGGAACATGTGAGCAACCAGCTGATACAATCTCTTACACCGGCCATCATCCACAGTGTGTCCTACTAATGTAGTAGTAAGTGTCTCTGGGACGCTCTCAAACATCTTCCAAACAAAGCTTTTAAACAGCTGTCCGTCCGAGAAGGGCATGTTTTGGTGAAAATCCGTCAACAAGGACACAAAATCTAGAACCAGCCCTTCTTTTTGTGGACTCAAGTTTTGCAGCTCTGGTTTTATCCCAGCTAAATGTGGACAGTCGAATAAACATTGCAATAAAACAGAGAATTTCTCAAGCTTATCAGTGTCATTACTAAATTCCTGAGGTCTCACATGATTAGTGCACATTACAGTGAACACAACATTAGCCATTACGTTCTGATGGTCCAGTATGAGACGAGAGGTAATATCACTGTGAGAGGTAATGTTTGATTGCTGTAGAGTTCTGTACAGAAACTCTGAAGCTAGAGAATACGGACAGTTTGGAGGAGTGGCGATAGAAAATATTTCTAAACGGATATTTTTCTGTTTTTCGTTATCATTCTGATGAAGTATTAAAAATAACTTAGCCAAGACATCGGCAGCAATGTTAAAACATTGTTGAAGGTCTTGATTTCTCGATTTTATAAATTTTTGAATCGGCTTAACGACAAACTTGCTAACCATCGCCACAGAAGTATCGTTCACATTTGCTTTGTCAATAACAAACTGACAAAACTTCAAAACCTTACCAGATCTTTGGGGATCACCCTCTGTGAGAAACATCTCGACCCAGGTTCCCAGAAACATGACCGAATCAAACTTACAGGATCCGGCCAAACACTCCAAATCATTCAGCATCTTAGAGAAAACCCCAAATATCTGGCACTTTCTCGAGTCACTTTCTCTTACATAATCCTCTGATATCCTGTTCAACATGATGGTGAGCTGTTCTAGCAGCAGCTGACTATCTAACCCCACCTCAACAGCTGACAATGTCATTCCTATCTGGAGAGAAACTACCACATTAGGTGAGGATGAGTTGGAGATGATATCCCCACTGAGGGACCCGAACATCTTGTTAACTTGTGCGGTTAAACTGTCCGGTTTTATCAGTAACAAGCAGCACCCCACCAGTAGTCCCAGGTTCTGCAGACTCTCCGCCGACATGGTCGCTAGAGACTTGTGGTCCCATTTCTCTGACTGGAACAGTCGTCTGATGAGAGTAACTCTCTTAACCTCGGGGATCTTGTCCAGCCCCCTGGAGTAGAATCTGAGGAAATGTTGGAACATGGTGTCCTCTGTGAGGGTGTCTAGTTTTACAATACTCTCTGAGGTTCTGGAGTATTGGTGGGGGGACAGGACTGGTACCAGACTAGAGGATCTACTGTTCAAACTCCTGCAACAGTTGGTATTAAAAGTAATGGTACCAGACTAGAGGATCTACTGTTCAAACTCCTGCAACAGTTGGTATTAAAAGTAATGGCACCAGACTAGAGGATCTACTGTTCAAACTCCTGCAACAGTTGGTATTAAAAGTAATAGCACCAGACTAGAGGATCTACTGTTCAAACTCCTGCAACAGTTGGTATTAAAAGTAATGGTACCAGACTAGAGGATCTACTGTTCAAACTCCTGCAACAGTTGGTATTAAAAGTAATGGTACCAGACTAGAGGATCTACTGTTCAAACTCCTGCAACAGTTGGTATTAAAAGTAATGGTACCAGACTAGAGGATCTACTGTTCAAACTCCTGCAACAGTTGGTATTAAAAGTAATGGCACCAGACTAGAGGATCTACTGTTCAAACTCCTGCAACAGTTGGTATTAAAAGTAATAGCACCAGACTAGAGGATCTACTGTTCAAACTCCTGCAACAGTTGGTATTAAAAGTAATAGCACCAGACTAGAGGATCTACTGTTCAAACTCCTGCAACAGTTGGTATTAAAAGTAATGGCACCAGACTAGAGGATCTACTGTTCAAACTCCTGCAACAGTTGGTATTAAAAGTAATGGCACCAGACTAGAGGATCTACTGTTCAAACTCCTGCAACAGTTGGTATTAAAAGTAATAGCACCAGACTAGAGGATCTACTGTTCAAACTCCTGCAACAGTTGGTATTAAAAGTAATGGCACCAGACTAGAGGATCTACTGTTCAAACTCCTGCAACAGTTGGTATTAAAAGTAATAGCACCAGACTAGAGGATCTACTGTTCAAACTCCTGCAACAGTTGGTATTAAAAGTAATGGCACCAGACTAGAGGATCTACTGTTCAAACTCCTGCAACAGTTGGTATTAAAAGTAATGGCACCAGACTAGAGGATCTACTGTTCAAACTCCTGCAACAGTTGGTATTAAAAGTAATGGCACCAGACTAGAGGATCTACTGTTCAAACTCCTGCAACAGTTGGTATTAAAAGTAATGGTACCAGACTAGAGGATCTACTGTTCAAACTCCTGCAACAGTTGGTATTAAAAGTAATGGTACCAGACTAGAGGATCTACTGTTCAAACTCCTGCAACAGTTGGTATTAAAAGTAATAGCACCAGACTAGAGGATCTACTGTTCAAACTCCTGCAACAGTTGGTATTAAAAGTAATAGCACCAGACTAGAGGATCTACTGTTCAAACTCCTGCAACAGTTGGTATTAAAAGTAATGGTACCAGACTAGAGGATCTACTGTTCAAACTCCTGTAACAGTTGGTATTAAAAGTAATGGCACCAGACTAGAGGATCTACTGTTCAAACTCCTGCAACAGTTGGTATTAAAAGTAATGGCACCAGACTAGAGGATCTACTGTTCAAACTCCTGCAACAGTTGGTATTAAAAGTAATAGCACCAGACTAGAGGATCTACTGTTCAAACTCCTGCAACAGTTGTTATTAGAGGATCTACTGTTCAAACTCCTGCAACAGTTGTTATTAGAGGATCTACTGTTCAAACTCCTGCAACAGTTGGTATTAGAGGATCTACTGTTCAAACTCCTGCAACAGTTGTTATTAGAGGATCTACTGTTCAAACTCCTGCAACAGTTGGTATTAGAGGATCTACTGTTCAAACTCCTGCAACAGTTGGTATTAGAGGATCTACTGTTCAAACTCCTGTAACAGTTGGTATTAGAGGATCTACTGTTCAAACTCCTGTAACAGTTGGTATTAGAGGATCTACTGTTCAAACTCCTGTAACAGTTGGTATTAAAAGTGCTCTACTATTATGAAGGATATTGTATACACTATATTGTCCTACAATACCTTGCAGCACTCATAACACTATTATTGTGTCATGCGTTTGCTGTTCCATCTTAAATATCAACAAATCGTTTAATTGATTATTATTATAAAATCTCACAACCAATTAAACAACAGGTGTTACCTGGCAAAGTGTTGTTGTAATGTCATAACAATAACAATGTTGCTCGGCCACAGTTCCCCTATTTTAGTTAGTGAGATAAGAGTTTGTTTTAGATGTGCTGGGTTAACACAGCTTAGTTTAGTCAGCTCCTGTACAATACTCCAGTTGCTAGGCAAGTTGGGGCACGTGCTCGTTACCATGGTGATTATCTGCTCCAGGATCCACATCAGACCTGATGTGTTATCTGACGAGCACACTGAAATAGTTAGTTTTGATAAAATACATGTTTATTGTTTATTGGTCACATGACTGCAACTGATGACACTTATAATATCCTGAAGTTATATAACAGGATCTTACATGCGGGAATTATTTAGGGAAACTTTCGATGGATTTTCTTCATCTGTTCGACTAAGTAATGAATCGTTTTAGGTAAAACTTCAATAAAGAAATTTTCTGACTGACATGTCCATAATCTCAAATTATTTGTTAAATAGTAGTATTAAAATACTTTTCATTCATTACTTTAAGTAGAACAGAAAAATATAATCCATCCAGTCTTAGCTTTCTTCTTTCGATAAGTCTTTTTGAACGATGCACATAATGGGAGTATGGGTCACGTGGCTAATTTTCAGAACTTCTGAACATGCTAGGTTACTGGATACTAAAATTAAGCCGAGAACGCTGTTTTTTACTAACCAATATCCCCAAACTCAAATAAACGTGTCCTTATACGATAACAACTTAACGAGGGTCAAGTTCTTTATCTAAGAAAAGCAATTTGGGAATTGCTTTTCTTAATAGTATTACTAAGTTACTACTTTTGGTTTCCTTTATCACGTTTTAATTAGGTCTTGAGAGTTGAAATATTATAAAAACGTAATTTTGTTACATTTTATTACATTTTATTAGTAATCTAGTTGAAATTAATATTGAACATTATTTTACCTAAAAAGTTGAAATGATCGTTGAACATTATATTATGTAGACAATTGTAAAGTATGTTTAAAATTAATAATTATATTTAACTTAATGTTTTTCGAGCATTATTTTACCTAAAGAGTTGAAATGTTTGTTGAATAAGTCCCAGAACCTCAGATTGCTGGCAACGTGATCAGTTGACACCTCAGATATCTTACTGATAACGAACTTCCAGCACACTTCAACACACTCACAACTTGCTGAAGATTTATTTAATTTAATAAATAATCAGTAACCATGACAACCGTGATAATATGTGAGTTAAGTTTAGTCAGAACGTGCTAAAAATAACGGAACAGCAGTGCAAACATATTGAAAGCCTATGTTTTTCTCGATTCTTATAAAACATTCAGTTTTTACTTACCAAATGTTTGAGGAGGGCTAAAGATGGACCTTTTCTCTGAAACTAAAGTAAGAGCAGAGTCCTTAGTCTGTGTGACCCTAGAGAAGGACTGGGACAGTAAACTACCCAGACTCTCGTCTAGAATGTTCCAGTATGTATCCAGGGAGGTGGGCAGGTACCTGACCAGTCTTTTATTAGTGTGTGGCCACTTGAACGAACACCGATGCAATAATAAGACAACATTAAGACAACAAACACCGATAAGACAACAAAATATGACAAAATATTAAGACAACATTAAGACAACATTAAGACAACAAACTCATTTAAGACAACATTAAGACAACAAATTCATTTTAAACAACATTAAGACAAGAAACTCGTTTAAGACTACATTAATGCAACAAAATGTTTAGAATTTCCGTGCAGGAGTAGGTCGGCTGTAACAAGTGACCGACAACTGAACCCAATTGAAAAGCAGATATAAAGAGTGTTACCTGGCTGCGACCAGTGCACGTGTAGTAGAGAGTAGCAACCACACGTGGTGCTGAAATGTCTGACATCTCGAGTAGGAGGACCTGTCTGTCAAGCTTTCCACCGGGGGGAGCAGCGATATAAGGTACTGAAACAACCACTTTTAGGGGGGGGGGGAGCAGCGATATAAGGTACTGAAACAACCACTTTTAGGGGGGGGGAGCAGCGATATAAGGTACTGAAACAACCACTTTTAGGGGGGGGGAGCAGCGATATAAGGCACTGAAACAACCACTTTTAGGGGGGGGGGGGGGGGGAAGCAGCGATATAAGGTACTGAAACAACCACTTTTAGGGGGGGGGGGGGGGGGGGAGCAGCGATATAAGGTACTGAAACAACCACTTTTAGGGGGGGGGGGGGGAGTAGCGATATAAAGTACTGAAACAACCACTTTTAGGGGGGGGGGAGCAGCGATATAAGGCACTGAAACAACCACTTTTAGGGGGGGGGGGGGGAGTAGCGATATAAAGTACTGAAACAACCACTTTTAAGGGGGGGGGGGGCAGCGACATAAGGTACTGAAACAACCACTTTTAGGGGGGGGAGCAGCGATATAAGGTACTGAAACAACCACTTTTAGGGGGGGGGGGGGGAGCATCGATATAAGGTACTGAAACAACCACTTTTAGGGGTGGGGGGAGCAGCGATATAAGGTACTGAAACAACCACTTTTAGGGGGGGGGGGAGCAGCGATATAAGGTACTGAAACAACCACTTTTAGGGGGGAGCAGCGATATAAGGTACTGAAACAACCACTTTTAGGGGGGGGGAGCAGCGATATAAGGCACTGAAACAACCACTTTTAGTGGGGGGGGGGGGGGGAAGCAGCGATATAAGGTACTGAAACAACCACTTTTAGGGGGGGGAGCAGTGATATAAGGTACTGAAACAACCACTTTTAGGGGGGGGGGGGGGGAAGCAGCGATATAAGGTACTGAAACAACCACTTTTAGGGGGGGGGGGGGGGAAGCAGCGATATAAGGTACTGAAACAACCACTTTTAGGGGGGGGGGGGAGCAGCGATATAAGGTACTGAAACAACCACTTTTAGGGGGGGGGGGGGAGCAGCGATATAAGGTACTGAAACAACCACTTTTAGGGGGGGGGGGAGCAGCGATATAAGGTACTGAAACAACCACTTTTAGGGGGGAGCAGCGATATAAGGTACTGAAACAACCACTTTTAGGGGGGGGGGAGCAGCGATATAAGGCACTGAAACAAACACTTTTAGTGGGGGGATTTAAGGTACTGAAAGGGGGGGAGCAGCGATATAAGGTACTGAAACAACCACTTTTAGGGGGTGGGGGGAGCAGCGCTATAAGGTACTGAAACAACCACTTTTAGGGGGTGGGGGGAGCAGCGATATAAGGTACTGAAACAACCACTTTTAGGGGGGGGGGGGCAGCGATATAAGGTACTGAAACAACCACTTTTAGTGGGGGGGGGGGGGGAGCAGCGATATAAGGTACTGAAACAACCACTTTTAGGGGGGGGGGTTTAAGGTACTGAAACAACCACTTTTAGGGGGGGGGGAGCAGCGCTATAAGGTACTGAAACAACCACTTTTAGGGGGTGGGGGGAGCAGCGATATAAGGTACTGAAACAACCACTTTTAGGGGGGGGGAGCAGCGATATAAGGCACTGAAACAACCACTTTTAGTGGGGGGATTTAAGGTACTGAAAGGGGGGGAGCAGCGATATAAGGTACTGAAACAACCACTTTTAGGGGGTGGGGGGAGCAGCGCTATAAGGTACTGAAACAACCACTTTTAGGGGGTGGGGGGAGCAGCGATATAAGGTACTGAAACAACCACTTTTAGGGGGGGGGGGGGGAGCAGCGATATAAGGTACTGAAACAACCACTTTTAGGGGGGGGGGGCAGCGATATAAGGTACTGAAACAACCACTTTTAGGGGGTGGGGGGAGCAGCGCTATAAGGTACTGAAACAACCACTTTTAGGGGGGGGGGGTTTAAGGTACTGAAACAACCACTTTTAGGGGGGGAAGCAGTGGCGTAACGTTGCCTGTTGGCGCCCCCCTGCCGAAAAAAGCGCCCCCCTGTTGGCGCCCCCTCCCCTTTTGGTGCCCCTCCCTAAAATTGAACAAATTAGGTGATTTTAAAGAATACGCCGGTAAAATCTCTAAAAAAGTGTGTATCTAGAGCAAAACGCGCAGTTTTGCTAGTACTTTAGTTAAGTTTTCGAAATTGTCCCACATTCAAACGACGATTTGGCGCCCCCCTAAGGCGGCGCCCCCCTGCACAGCGGGGTCAGCAGGGCCTTTTGTTACGCCACTGGGGGAAGCAGCGATATAAGGCACTGAAACAACCACTTTTAGGGGGGGGGGGGGGAGCATCGATATAAGGTACTGAAACAACCACTTTTAGGGGGGGGAGCAGCGATATAAGGTACTGAAACAACCACTTTTAGGGGGGGGGAGCAGCGATATAAGGTACTGAAACAACCACTATTAGGGGGGGGGGCAGCGATATAAGGCACTGAAACAACCACTTTTAGGGGGGGGGGAGCAGCGCTATAAGGTACTGAAACAACCACTTTTAGGGGGGGGGGGAGCAGCGATATAAGGTACTGAAACAACTACTTTTAGGGGGGGGGAGCAGCGATATAAGGTACTGAAACAACCACTTTTAGGGGGGGGGGGGGGAGCAGCGCTATAAGGTACTGAAACAACCACTTTTAGGGGGGGGGGGGGGGGGAGCAGCGATATAAGGTACTGAAACAACTACTTTTAGGGGGGGGGGGAGCAGCGCTATAAGGTACTGAAACAACCACTTTTAGGGGGGGGGGGGGCAGCGATATAAGGTACTGAAACAACCACTTTTAGAGGGGTGGAGGGGGCAGCAATATAAGGTACTGAAACAACCACTTTTAGGGGGGGGGCAGCGATATAAGGTACTGAAACAACCACTTTTAGGGGGGGGGGGAGCAGCGATATAAGGTACTGAAACAACCACTTTTAGGGGGGGATATAAGGTACTGAAACAACCACTTTTAGGGGGGAGGGGGAGCGATATAAGGTACTGAAACAATCACTTTTAGGGGGGGGGGGCAGCGATATAAGGTACTGAAACAACCACTTTTAGGGGGGGGGCAGCGATATAAGGTACTGAAACAACCACTTTTAGGGGGGGAGCAGCGCTATAAGGCACTGAAACAACCACTTTTAGGGGGGGGGGGGCAGCGATATAAGGTACTGAAACAACCACTTTTAGGGGGGGGGGGGAGCAGCGATATAAGGTACTGAAACAACCACTTTTAGGGGGGGGGGGCAGCGATATAAGGTACTGAAACAACCACTTTTAGGGGGGGGGGAGCAGCGATATAAGGTACTGAAACAACCACTTTTAGGGGGGGAGCAGCGATATAAGGTACTGAAATAACCACTTTTAGGGGGGGGGGGAGATATAAGGTACTGAAACAACCACTTTTAGGGGGGGGGGGGGAGCAGCGATATAAGGTACTGAAATAACCACTTTTAGGGGGGGGGGGGGGAGCAGCGATATAAGGTACTGAAACAACCACTTTTAGGGGGGGAGCAGCGATATAAGGCACTGAAACAACCACTATTAGGGGCATAAGAGGGACATGTTTGCGATATGTCCTTCCTTTATCATTATGACATTAGGGCCTAATAATATTAATAGTCCCTAATGTTAGTCCCTAATATTAGGGCCTAATGCCATGCAACAACTCTTTCCTAACTCTGCTACTGTAAGCTATGTAAAAACTCGAATACATTGTCCGCACTCAGAAGCATTTTCAATGAGGCCCCAAATACAAACTTAGCAAGTTTATACGTGTACAGCAGCAGCTGTGTTGTTGTAGTAGTAGGTTGTAAAAGCTAGATTGTGTTTCAAGAACCCCCTCCGTGCTGCTAACGTAGACACAACTTTTACATGTGGCGTTTAACTTTGTGTGCTTGTAGACATAATATTATACATAATTATAGACATAATATTATGGGGCTTTCCTGCCAACCACCACCAGACATTTGCTGAGTTTGTTATACGACGCAGTTATTAGCTGATTATAATGTTTTACAACAGATAATACGAATTGTTCCTCGACTTGTACTATTCATTTGCTACTGTCGATTTGCAGTCTAATTATTACTAATTACTACTTACTACTACTGCTACTGACGATGAGTTGTATTTAATTGAGTTAGATACCAACTATTACAAGTTATATTCAGGTTTCCAACAGAGTCTAATTGAAGGAATGACAGCAATACGCCTGATGTTGTTCATCTTATCTTGGTTCAGCTTGGTATTCTTTCTGTACACCAGCAACACTATCAGTAACACTATCAGTAACTCTATGTCTGATAATTCAAACTGGCCAAGTAACCCTGCTCAGAGTGTTAAAGACCCTGCATTTAACTTAACTCTTAACCCCGATAAGAAGCTAGTTCTCCTGGTTACCTCCTTCAGGGGCGGTTCCACGTTTTTAGGGCAGATATTCGACAGTAACCCAGCAATGCAGTACCTGTTCGAGCCGTTCCACGAGGGGCACCTGAGGAAGTTGTTTAAGCGGGGTCTGCTTGTGGGGGCCCGGGCAGACCACACTATCTCAGACCTGAGCATGCTGTATCTCCAACAAATAATGCACAACTGTACTCTCTTCAAAACTATTATAGTTCAGGAGAAACACGCGTATTGTGGCTCTCCTGAAGAGAACCTGCACAGGTTCAACACTACTGCGTGTGTTAAACCTAGAATTGAGAGGGAGATTCACCGTGAGGTGTGTCAGTACAGAGAAACCACCGCTCTCAAGGTCATTAGACTTACCCATCTAGCTGATATCCTGAAGATAGGGAATATTAGGACTGCAAACATTAAGATCGTACATCTGTTGAGGAATCCTTTACCCATGATGAAGTCGAGAAGAACTGGCTGGAATTACTTCATGTGGGACTCGATGAAAATGCTGGAATTTGTAGGTTCTACAGCACATGAGAACAGTATAAAGGAGTGTTACGAATCATTTGAATATTGTCACAACAACATGGAGACAATAGCTTTTGTAAATAATGAGCCTTGGTTAAAAGACCGTTATCTACGTGTTACTCACACAGATATGAGCTTAGAACCCCTGGTCACAGCTCAGAGAATATACGACTTTATTGGAGATGAACTTACTGATGAGATAAGGAATTACATAGTTAATATCACCAGGGGGGGCCCCGCTATAAATTCAGGGGATGGAAAACCTAAAAAGCGGAACCCATTAGAGTTTCGTAAAAACTCAGCTGAGCTGGTAACTCAGTGGGAGGATCTGGATTGGTATTTAAAGTACTCTGATTTGTATAACATAGAGTCTCAATGTGTGAGGTTGATGGAACTTTTGGGCGAACGATTCTCCGTGGATGCCATGTCTGCTGTAAAAATTGGGAGGGTTCTTAATCCTCATTTATGAGAGAAGCAACTTGCACCATCTCACCTCTTAAATATTTAGGTTATAAAATCGTTTTAATTCATGACTTTATGTTAACTTTACGTCTATCTTTTAAAATAATTTTACCATGTACCTGGAGAGAGTCAAGGAAATCGTTACACTTAGCAGGCTTCAGGTTAGCTAGAAGGTTACAAAAACCAGTTAAGTTTTCTGCTGATTTGACGGTATCACTATCCTCCTCCTCTTCCATATTGAGTAGCGCGCGGTGCGCGGCATTCAACACACGCTCTAACGCTGCATTGTCCTCCTCTATCTGACAGTGTATATAATAGTATAGTATAGTAGATATAGTAGTAGTAGTAGATATAGTAGTAGTAGTAGATATAGTAGTAGTAGATATACAAAGGTTTTCAATTATCAAGCCAAATGTGTGCAAAAAATTTTGAGTTCTTAGCTTAAAGCGTTCTCATTTTATGAAGACAATAGTGAAAAAGAGGGAGTGTCACGCCACGCCCACTGTAATTGGGCGTGGCTTACGAAACTTTCAGGAAATCTAAGTTTGACCCATATCTATTATCTCTGAAATTTTGGTGCAATTTGGAGAAAAATTACGTGAGTTATTAAGAGGTTGCGTGTGGGTAGTCACTTATGGGCCACCCTGTAGTAGTATACAGTAATAACAATTAAATGAAATCCTAACACACTCGTCACTGAATAGGGTAAATCATAAGAAGTGATCTGTAACAGGTGAAAGTTAACACACTAAAAACATGACCCCCCTCACTTACCGCAAGAGTTACATAAGGACAATGGAATAGATGACCCTCTTCAGGTAAATCAGGTTGGGTTAGGTTGAGGAACTGACGCAGCTCAATGTCACATGATCTCATAATACTATTGTAAGGATCAGTATTATTATAGTTCTGTCATTTGATACGATTGTGCTGTAAATTTGATACTTTTACAAAATCTTCAATTGGCATAATTAAAATTGATCTTTTAATTGATCACACATCACACATGGCTGGGTCACACATGGCTGGGTCACACAAGGCTGGGTCACACAAGGCTGGGTCACACAAGGCTGGGTCACACAAGGCTGGGTCACACAAGGCTGGGTCACACAAAGCTGGGTCACACAAGGCTGGGGCACACAAGGCTGGGTTACACAAGCTAAAACTCACAGTTTAAACAGATAAATACTACCACTCTACTCGAAGGAAAACCAAAGAACAATTGCAGCTAAAATAGAAAAACATAAATTGGTCACTGTGCAGTGTGCACGAATCTTAATTTCACAAAAATTCATGAAACAATTTTCAAGATTTAACAATTGAATTGCATTAAAAATTCAACTTCAAATTTAACAATTTCACACTCAAAATAATGATAATGATAATCTAATTAATTATAAAAGTAACTTAGTAGGGGTCCCCGGATCTGATTTCCTTATTACATGTATTTATTATTTTCCCAATCAAATTTCTTTTGTTCCCGGTAAAACATCCCACTTCCCGCCTCCAAAGGAAGAGTACAAACCAGTACAGGAGTTACAGCTCCCTCGTCTATAGTAAGAGGACCTTTGTGACTGGACATGTCAGTGGAGACCCAGCCAGGACAGCAGCTGTTGAGAATTAATTCCTTGGAATTATTCTTTATTTCTTGTCCGAGAACACGAGTATGAGCAATGAGTAAACATTTTGACAGTCCGTAAACAGAGTCTCTCTTGAAATGTGTATAATCATCATTTGTAACTGCTGCAATGTACTGATCGTGGATTTCTCTCAAACCCTTTACAGTAAGCTCAGGGTCCAACAGTTGTTTTCTAATGGGACTATTCAAGTCAGGGAACGATCTGCTTAGAATACCACTCATTGACGCAACTTGACAGATCGGCCACCATCCTTCATCAGTGGTATTAGAGCATCTGTGACTTTTATTGTCGCAAGTAAGTTGGTTCCCATAGTTACCTCAGCTTTCTCCAAAAGAGGAGCTGTACTGGCACATTTGAAGGCAACTCCAGCATTGTTGCACAAAATGTCAATACCTCCATACTTCGATTTAATGGCGTCACAGAATTCTCCAATCGATTCATCAGAGCAAATGTCCAGCTGTTCAAAAACTGGGTTCAACCCCTCAGCTTGTAAAGCTTGTACAGCAGCAAGTCCTCTGTCTTCATCTCTAGAGGTGAGGATAACAGTTCCTCCAACTTTCTTACAAAGAGCTCGGACTATACCAAAACCAACTCCTTTGTTCGCCCCAGTTACTACTGATACTGTCATGATGCAGACTTAGCCTAGAATTTGGAATGTTATTTTCAAAATTGTTCCATTTATACTTTTAGAAATTATTATACGTGAAATTTCCCTATTTCATACACACAGTGTAGTGATACTGGTAGGTAACTATGGGAACCAACTTACTTGTAAACTCAGATAATGGTAGTTATAACTTTACAATTTCTACCTCAGCCTTTGAAAACATTAAAACATCATGATGACTTTTATTAAAGAATAGATGATTACTACTGGATTGGAATAAATTAGCTGAATGATCTATAAAAGGCTGACTGTACAAAATAAATCAAAATATACATCCCCAGTTTCTACATCCACCAAACAAAACATTGCACTTCTAAAAACCACATCACAAGCTCATCACAGTCGCCCGATGATCATAGCCTGGACCAGAGTCCCCTTCTGAAGAGAGGAACAGGTATCAGATCTGGGCGGTAGCTGGAGAAGCAGGTTAGCACTTCTCATGCTTAGTAATCTGCTGCTGCATTGTCCTCCTGTCAACTCAACTCCTCCATTCTTGTAGACTGCAAATACGTGTGATTACTTCATGACATGGTCAAAACATACGGATATATCCCTTATAAAGTTATAATCTAAAGGAATTTAGGGAGATCTTGCAGTGCAAGTAAAAGTAATTTGATGAGAAGAGGTCTGCAATAATAATTAAAGAATAAATTATTTAACTACAGGGCGATCTACCCTAACTAAAATACAATATGCTTAACCTGCTCTGATGTACTCAGGTCGTGGGTCCAAGTTTCTTGTCTCTGGTAACTCTACTCTCATAGTACTCGGAGCAGGATCCCTTCCTTCCCAGACTCTGAGAGCTGGCAAAACAAACAACTTGTACGTTACCATGGCGCTGACAGGGTTACCAGGGAGACCAAAGAAGAGTTGTCCGGAAGGGAAAGTGGCAAATGTGGTGGGTTTCCCTGGTTTCATGTGGACTCGACCAAACTGTACAGTGGCTCCAACAGTCGGCAGAGCTTCTTTTAGATAGTCACACTCTCCCATAGATACACCACCTGGTGGGGGGGGCAGGTGAGTTATTCGCCAGATAACGTAGGGGGGGGGGGCAGGTGAGTTATTCGCCATGTAACGTAGGGGGGGGGGGCAGGTGAGTTATTCGCCAGATAACGTAAGGGGGGGTTAGTTATTTGCCAGGTAGGGGGGATGAGTTATTCGTCAGGTAGGGGGAGGGGGGGCGGGGGAATGAGTTATTCGTCAGGTAGGGGGGGGGGGGGGGCGGGGGAATGAGTTATTCGTCAGGGGGGGGGGGGCTAGGGGGGGCTATGGGGGGCTAGGGGGGGGGGGCTAGGGGGGCTAGGAGGGCTACTCACCAGTAGTCAAGTAGTCAGTGGGGGCTAGGGGGGCTACTCACCAGTAGTCAGGGGGGGGGGCTAGGGGGGCTACTCACCAGTAGTCAGGGGGGCTAGGGGGGCTACTCACCAGTAGTCAGGGGGGGCTAGGGGGCTACTCACCAGTAGTCAGGGGGGGGGGGGCTACTCACCAGTAGTCAGGGGGGGCCGGGGGTGGCTACTCACCAGTAGTCAGGGGGGGCTAGGGGGGCTACTCACCAGTAGTCAGGGGGGGGCTAGGGGGCTACTCACCAGTAGTCAGGGGGGGGGGCTAGGGAGGCTACTCACCAGTAGTCAAGTAGTCAGGGGGGGCTAGGGGGGCTACTCACCAGTAGTCAGGGGGGGGGGGGGGCTAGGGGGGCTACTCACCAGTAGTCAGGATTATATCAGTCTGCTGTAAAGCAGTTTTGTCTGAGTCCCTCCGACACATCGTGCAGAGCGTCCGGAAAGTGGGAGCAGAGTGTGACATTGTAACCATCCTCTTGTAACATGTGTGACAGTGATGGAGTGTTACTGTCCCGAACCTGGGCAGTGCAAAAAAAAAAAAAAAAATAAAAAATAAAAAAAAAAAAAAAAAAAAAAAAACAGTGGACACCATCTAATGTTGCAGAGCAATTAATATATAATAATATAATAATACACGCACAGTTATATATTATATCTATATTACAAGAAGTAAATATTACAGTTATCATTTGGGAATCGTTTTCGGGTTAAACACAGGTTTTAAACTTTTGCAGAATTTAGCTTGGAATAAAACGGTATACAGAGAAAATAAGGCACCTCGAATAAATCAATTCCTATATTTTACCTGTCCGGAGGCAAGCTCAGGGCCAGACTTAACAAGTTCATTTCCGGTACTGATAATGGCTATCTTGGGTTTAACTCGAACTTCTACGCTCTCTATCCCTTGCGAGGCTAACAGACCTGGGCAAAGCATTAATTTAACCAAAAGCCATCGCTCGTTATTATAAACATTATAATATATACACTATGAATTCCCATGATATATCAAAAGTTTATAACCAAATTGTCAAGCAAGCTTCACAAACCTAGCTCCGGGCAGCAAACAGCTGGCAGCCCCCCGGAAGAAGCACCTCCCCCTTTGCAATATCACTACCAACAGGCCGGACATCTGTTCCTGCAGACACTCTGGATAGTATCCGGATAGTATCCTCCTCCCCGTCTGGAGTAGAGGATACTAATTCTGTGTCTTCTACTTGTACTACTGCATCTGCTCCTAGCGGCACCATCCCACCTGTCACGGGGGCGTTTAAATATAATCTGTCACGATTTAAAATATATTGTTTGGGAATTTGGATTACAATTATAACTATACTAATCGTAAATCACAATTACTTGTGACTAATAATACCTGAGGTAATTACCACCCTTGGAACCTGTGAGTAATAATACGAGGTAACCTGGAAACATGTGACTAATAAACCTGATTAACCCTGGAACATGTGACTAATAATACCTTGTAAACCCGGAAACATGTGAACTATAAAAACCTGATGTAACACTGGAAACATGTGACTAATACTACCTGTGTAACCCCTGGAAACTGGGACTAATAATAACCTGTGGTAACCCTGGAAACATGTGACTAATAATACCTGTGGTAACCCTGGAAACATATGACTAATAATACCTGATGTAACCCTGGAAACATGTGACTAATAATACCTGTGGTAACCCTGGAAACATATGACTAATAAAGACCTTGATGTAACCTTGAAACATGTGACTAATAATACCTGTGGTAACCCTGGAAACATGTGACTAATAATACCTGTGGTAACCCTGGAAACATGTGAATAATAAAACCTGTGGTAACCCTGGAAACAGTCCCACTCTCCAGCACGATCCCAGAATTGTGTCCCATCTTAGAAACCGCCACCACCTGGTAGACCCCCGGTCCGTCTCCAGAGACCACAGCGTACCCGTCCTTTACACTAGCCCGGTAGTTTGGCAGGTCCTCTCTAGCTAGGACCACACTCCCTGTCACGTGCCCGTGTGATGGGGCCTGACCCTCTAGAGTTGGCGGGATAGTTGAGAGTGTTGCTGTTTTGAGAGGGTGAGAAGCTGCTGATCTGGTTATACGAGACAGCGCCTCCTCCACAGGTAACATGGGCCAGGTTGACTGGCGGCACCTGAACGCTACTCCTCGTCTGGAGGAATCTGGTACTGGGATTATCTGGGATTCATTTTACAGGATTCGGATATAAATTCTTAAAAGCTAATTTTGTTTCCCAACAGAACAAGCTCCTTGATCTTATTCATCATTAAGCAACCACATTAAACTCTATCACTAAGCAACCAAATTAATCTCTATCACTAAGCAACCAAATTAAACTTTATCACTAAGCAACCACAATAAACTCTATCACTAAGCAACCAAATTAAACTCTATCACTAAGCAACCAAATTAAACTCTATCGCTAAGCAACCAAATTAAACTCTATCACTAAGCAACCAAATTAAACTCTATCACTAAGCAACCACATTAAACTCTGAAACTGTTCAGCTCACCTACATGTTTTGGAGCCCCCTTTTTGTGAGGACACACGTGCTCTGCTCCACGAGAGGCTTTGAAGGGGTCACTCTGTTCCAAGGAGGCGTGAAACGAGGATATTGAGCTCTTAGAGTCACTTATTAGATCCAATATGTGGCCTAGAACTGGGAAGAGGATGTCTAGATTCTCTGCAACTGCTTTCTTGCTTCCAGGCAGGCAGATAACCAGACATTTACCAGTTATTCCTGAAGTTCAAACAATTAGGTTATAGGAATTTAGAAATCGGAAATGTTTTCCATTATATCACAATAAATTTGAATTTCTGGTTTTTGTTCCCTAAACTTAGTGATGACTTAATGAACCTTAAAACGAGAGGATTGGACAGCATAGCAAAGGGAGTCTTCTGTGTTGTTGCTAAGTGGTTACTAAGTGGTTACTAGGGGTTACTAAAAGCATGAAACCTACCCACAAGAGGATTGGGCAGCATAGCAAAGGGAGTCTTCTGTGTTGTTGCTAAGTGGTTACTAAGTGGTTACTAGGGGTTACTAAAAGCATGAAACCTACCCACAAGAGGATTGGGCAGCATAGCAAAGGGAGTCTTCTGTGTTGTTGCTAAGTGGTTACTAAGTGGTTACTAGGGGTTACTAAAAGCATGAAACCTACCCACAAGAGGATTGGGCAGCATAGCAAAGGGGGTCTTCTGTGTTGTTGCTAAGTGGTTACTAAGTGGTTACTAGGGGTTACTAAAAGCACCTACCCACAAGAGGATTGGGCAGCATAGCAAAGGGAGTGTTCTGTGTTGTTGCTAAGTGGTTACTAAGTGGTTACTAAGGGTTACTAAAAGCACCTACCCACAAGAGGATTGGACAGCATAGCAAAGGGAGTCTTCTCCACACACTTGGACACTAAACCAGCCATCACACCAGTAGCCTGTTTCTCTAAGAGAGGTGATATTGCCTGTACCGTGACGTCGTTAGGTGACAGCCCTGTTCCTCCGGATGATACGAACAAGTGAGCTGTTGTGTCCTGAAGTACACATGAAGTGAGCTGTTGTGTCCTGAAGTACACATGAAGTGAGCTGTTGTGTCCTGAAGTACACATGAAGTGAGCTGTTGTGTCCTGAAGTACACATGAAGTGAGCTGTTGTGTCCTGAAGTACACATGAAGTGAGCTGTTGTCTCCTGAAGTACACATGAAGTGAGCTGTTGTGTCCTGAAGTACACATGAAGTGAGCTGTTGTGTCCTGAAGTACACATGAAGTGAGCTGTTGTGTCCTGAAGTACACATGAAGTGAGCTGTTGTCTCCTGAAGTACACATGAAGTGAGCTGTTGTGTCCTGAAGTACACATGAAGTGAGCTGTTGTGTCCTGAAGTACACATGAAGTGAGCTGTTGTCTCCTGAAGTACACATGAAGTGAGCTGTTGTCTCCTGAAGTACACATGAAGTGAGCTCACTGAGTACACATAGAATATTTGGGAGACCTGTCAAAAACCTAACAAACTGGTTACCGCAGGTATTATTGGTCAATCATAAGTGAGCTGAATCAACTGTCTATAAGAGCGTTTCACATAACCCCTTACCGATGCCGCCTGTTCGACAGCCCTGTTGAGAGCCTCCTGAATCCTGATAACATCATCAGAGACACATTGCCTTGTAATTCTCAACCCTGGTCTCCACTCCTCCAACCTCTCTGTTATGTAGGGTCCGGAGGTGTCTGTTGTCGTGCCAGCTGAACATCTGTCACTGATCGTCACTACGTGTGCCATTCTATAGGCTATAAGCTAGGTGTTCAAAAACTTGTTATAAAGAATTATTTACGATCTTTTTATGTCTATCATATTCATCTAGTTATACTTCGGGTGAGCTTTATATCCAATTTCTATTGTATTTGTTATTATAGATAGAATTTGTAAACTAATTTCAGAAACTTGTTATAAAGAATTATTTACGATCCATCGCTTTCACACCGCATTGCATTATAGCTTAGTGGTCGTTCACATAATATTACGTAATCCCTTTTTGCGCAATTTGTAACCCCCCCCCCTCCTCCGTAATCAGTTTTACACATTGCTATTGTGTCAAAATTACACTAGCGTGATCATTTGGAAACCCACCACCCCCTCGGCTGATTACGTAATATGTGAACGACTCATTACTATTGGATACGTAAAATTAGTCAATTAACTTAACGAGATAAATGAAACGATGCGAATAAGATTTTATCAGTAAAAACAGACATAATATTTAGCTCAAAATCATAAATAATTCAGATAATCATCAGGTGTAAACATTTTATTGCTGGACAACTTTCAGAATTATTTCGTAGCACAAAAAACTAAAAACTAAAATAATTTTTCAACTTTGTTCAGCAAAAACTTCATAATATAATCTGTTATCATTAATGTGATAAAATATTGCGATTTTAAAAAATCAATTGTTTACTATAATATATAGTTTTAAAAAGGATGACATACTATTAAAAACTTACGAAACACAGTATTTAGTATCCCGCTACTATGCGACAAAGATATTGTATAACATATAACTAAATAATTTACACAATACGGTGCCCATATCTGAGCGGCTCTCCTGAAAAAAATTTCTCTCCTCGGAGCAGAAAGTTAAAAACAAAACACTGGTCTCATAAAATAAAAAGATACTTAATAATGTCGAAGAGATAATAGCAGATTAACCGTCGCAAAAATGGTAATAGCATACATCTATATTATATTTCAAACTTGGCCAAATCCCCCCAGGAAGTTTTAAATAAATATAGATGTACACTATTACCATTTTTGCAAAACAACACTGAAAATCGACCAAAAATAACCCTCTGGTGACGCCAATTTGAACTCGCAAAGGGAGTTGAAACCTCGCAATTTTTAGCAGGGTTGAAAAAAGGAAAGGAATAGAAGATAGCATTCTTAGAATTTTGATTTAGGCTTTAGATTTCTTTCATAACTTTGGTTGTGATTGATACTTTTCGATGCCGTAGAAACTAGAAAGTATCGTTTAGAGAATCTGAATACTTACAATTTTTTCGTCATTGTCAAATAAAATCCATACTTTCTACATTTACATTAATTACAGAGGTTAGAGCTAGTATTAGAGATTAGAGAAATTTAAACATAAACGATTTACAAATTTTCTCGAACAAAGCTTTAGACTAGCGGGTTTCTATTCTATATCAAATTTTAAACTTGACGAAATCCCCCGGCAAGTGGGACATAGTCATATCGTAAATTGTATACTATATTGATGAGGATTACATGCGATGAGCTATTCTTACTATATAATATATATAAATAATATTATATCACAAGATCCAATTATGTCCTAACATTCCCTACTCAAAGTCAATATCCCATTCACTGTAATTGATAAGCTAAGAAGGTACATGAAACGTGTGTGAACAATGATGTGTTATCCAGCTATTGTCGTGCGAAGTAAGTACAGCTTTACACGTCACGAGGCACACTATTCTTACTCAAGAATTGTATCCTACAAATCTTTTCTCCAGATACTATTTATTCAGGCAATACTATCGAGGATATATCTATTTATATTTAAAACTTACAAACTTAACGAACAAAATCCATAATTTCTACAGTATAACAGAGCTAGATGATGAAAAGAAATTAAAACATAACTGATTTTTAAAATTCCCTCGAACAAATCTTTCGACTAGCGGGTTTCTAGTACAATATATAATGTGATTTCATTGACACACCGGAAAAAAACGAACTGGTTAAAAAACCAAAATAAAAATTAATGGATACTCCAAAAAACTAACAACAAATAATCTAAAACTGATTTTTAAGTCAGAAAAATAGACTTCAATTAAATAAATGCAATAAAATCGGTGCAATCAAACAAAAAAGTTAACAAAGAAATTAAAAATTGTTAAAATTGTTCTAAATTCTGACATTAAAAACGTGACATCCATTAAAATCAGTATTTTATTACACAATTATCAATATGAAAAAGCAGTTACTGAGTCACTCAAAATCATTTTGAAATTATACAGTTTTATCAACAAGCACAAGTATAGTTATAATAGAATATAGTACGTATATAAGATTGCTAATAATTGCTAATAGCTACTAAACAATATAGTCTTCAGGAACAATACATTTTTCAGACGAATATCTTATTACAATTAAATCATAATACTATTGGGATATTTCGTTAGTCGAAAATACTCATTACATCTCCCTGTTATGAAGTCTAAACGAATATAAATTATAAATGAATGAATTTCTTCTCAATTTTAATTGAAATATAACACAAAGACAGGTTTGAACAATTTAACATCCTCCAATACCAGCTGCTGACAATAACCAGCTTTATTTGGTTCAACTTTCCTGTGCATGCCATTTACTAAGATCAGCTTAAAAATGAACATGCAGTGCTGGTCATACTTCTGAGTAAAATCGGGATGCTCTGAAAAATAACAACCTTTACCGTAAGCCCTGCCATGTACAGGATTTCGATTAGGATCTAGATTTGTTTCTATGATGCTTCGTACGTTCTTCCTGTGGGTTGCGTGGTAGGCATACACCTCTTTCATATCCTTACCATCTTTTACGAACGCTTTTCTAGCATTATCATAATCTCTTGACAGTCTGTGATTTACTACAATCCCAACAGTTTTGATGTTTGGTTGAGAATATAAACATTGCGAATATAAAGGATCGCGCTTGCGCTTGCAGTCACCTTTGTAAAGTGAAATCGCACGCTCAATTAAGCCACAGAGAGGGTTACTAACATCACGGAAATCAAAGTTAGCAAGATCTGTTTCGTGTAGACCATCCTCAAGTCCGTTAAATAGAGAATCAATGTCTGTCGTAGGTCTCCTCCTTGTTATAGAGAATTCAATGATGTATTTTACATGGACCTGGTCTCCATCCAAAATTTTATACCTTGTAGGGACGCCGTTCTCAGTCACCAACACAGAATCTATTTTCTCTTTCCGGAGATACTCCTTCATCTCTTTAAGTTTTGGGTTAGTTGTTATGTTCATGTTCGATCTATTAATTGTTTCTCCAACTAGAATGTCTGCAACCATCATAGTCATGTTCTCCAGATCAGAACTACTGTAGTCCCCAGGAGGGGCATATTTGTAGTAACCATACAGAGCGGCCTCACGCTTAATTATACATTGTCTCAAATATTTAGTTAGGCTTTCCACACTGCTGTAATCCTTATCTGCTGGAATCATCTTGTATAATTCCTCTTGAAAAACACCATTAGCCTTCTTGGTAAACTCCAACAAACCAAGGGGAGGTTTACAACATCTTTTTATGGTCTTTATTGAAACATCAAAATTAGTATATTGTTGGAAGAATGCTTGACATTTTTCAGATACACTCACGTATTCGTGTTGTTCACTGGAAAGGGGTAATAGTAAGTCCGTGGAATTTGATTCTATTGCTTCTTTCTTGAACGACTCAATCCTACGACTAGCTTCATCCCACGCTTTTTCTAAACTTCTCTTTTGCTCAATCTTACATATTTCGCAACTTCCTGACAAACATAGCTCGTGGCACTTGTTTGCACAGGGATGTTCGCAGTCAGGGCGATCTTTCGAGCAAGGATGCTCACATTCTTCTTTTGTGCTACACTCCCTATTTTGATCATGTCCACAGATCAAACTTTTGTATGTGATTAAATGTTTGCAACTAAAGTTTTCTGGCAAAGTTTCACCACAGATTATTTTAGCGGGATATTCATGTCCACAAGCAGGAATGACAAACTGGACCATTTCTTGACAGGCATCCTTCCTTGCATAGCAGCTTCGATACTGATCATGGCCACATTTTTCATCTTTGTATTTGATCTTCTCGGAGCATCTTGCCTCTTGTGGGAAGGGTTCCCCACAGACCTTTTTAAATGTAGCAGTATGACCACACACAGGAAACTTGAACTGGATTCGAGCAGGACAACTGTCGGAGGAGTGGCTATGATTCCGGCCACAAATATCTTCACACTTGTGTTTCATTGCACAGGAATACAATTTCTCACAGTACTCATTACAAATCAACTGTCTGCGCTCGTATTGCCAGGAGTAGCAAATTGCCTTCTTTAGATGACCGCAATCCAGTGTGCTCGATACTTCGATTTGACATTCTCCTCGGGCATTAGACTTGTTGGCATTATGATCACATCTAGAAGCGCCAACTTTAAAAAAAGGATTTTCCGAACTGAGCGATGAGGACGTACCACCATGTGACCTTCTAGATGGCCGGGAGTCTTCGATAACAATATTAGAGTACAACGAGCATGACGTTTTAGCAAGATCTCTTTTGTGTATACCATCCTCAAGTCCTTGAACTAGAGGATCTGGTTCTCTCGATCCAATAGATGGTGGGGAGTCTTCATTGATGTCTGTCGGAGGTCTCCTGCATGACATGTCTTCCTCCTGATAGAAAACATAAGCTTTTAGTTAAAACGAATTGTAAAATAGTATCAAATACGGTAATCGTACTGTAGTGCGACACGTACTCTAGTGCGACACGTACTCTAGTGCGAAGTCCGACAAAAACACCCTCTGTCACACTACAGTACGTGTCGCACTACGATCCAGGTAGCGTACTCTAGTGCGACAAAATATCCTGACTTATTTCCAAGTTCAGGTCACATCCTATCATTTTTATGGATTTGTTGGGTCGGTTCACGTCACTTATTTTGAAGTGATCTTGCGAATACGATTCGTCAGTTCACATCACGTGTTTCGAAGTGATCCACTGATCATAATTCCTTTGGGTCAGTTCAAGCCACGTATGCAGTGTGTGATCCACCGGGTAACTCTTACGCAGCATATGATCCTCTTTCCTATTACACGCATCGTATATCTCCGATTGGTATAACAAGTTCATATGCTTGGGCCATATATAATAAGGTCACGATGATTCTACCAAAGCATCGAACAACATCAACCTGTCTTCTTCAATCATCTTCATTTCTGGACGCACTACAGGTTCAAGAAACGTTATCCACGACGGATACCGCTACTGCCTGGATAAGAAGCGCGACGACAAGACCTACTGGCGATGCACTGAATTCCCCTTGCATTCGGCTTACTCCCCGGAAAGACACAGGCTCATTATGAAGCCCTCTTGGATGAGCTCCTTGCATTTGGAGTCGACCCTCAATCTGTCATGAGTGACTGCAAGAGAGCCCTGATAAACGCTGTGGAGACAACCTGGCCCACTACCACCAAGAGAGGATGCTTCTTCCACCACAAGCAAGCATTTTGGAGGAAGATGCAGCAACATGACCTAGTCCTGGAATACAACGCAGAGAACTCAGCAGTACGGAGGTACTTTCAGATGACACTCTTGTCATTAAAACTTTAAAATGTCGCACTTTAGTTCGTGTCGCACTACAGTCCAAGTAGCGCACTGCAGTGCGACAGTGTTGGCCTTGAAAATTCTCTGTCGCACTAGGGTACGTGTCGCACTACGATCCAGGTAGCGTACTCTAGGGTACGTGTCGCACTATAGTACGTGTCGCACTATAGTACGTGAACCATCAAATACTATATACTTTCATTCGTTAACATATACATCTGGAAGGCAAGATTATGCACAAAATTAGTATTCCTCAATCCTCATTAAGATTGTGAAATTTAAGCTCCCACACAGCTTATAATAACGTGGCATCCTCTGGTAACACAAATACAATGCAATTCCGATGGTTCAGCAAACTGCTCATAAATTTCTAAATTATGACTAACCAAGACATTTCTAGAAACGCTTAGTTGCTTCTTTTTTAACTTCTTTGAGAGTTGCTCGTTTATCGAGAGATGTTCTTCAACTTCAGAGTTGAGCCTGCTTCTTTCAGTTAACCAGTGCTCTCTTTCTTGCGTAATCTGAAGCATCATTTTCATCCTAGTTTTAAGCCTTTGCCCCATACAGAACACTATATAATATAGTAAATAGTGCCACCTTGCGTGGCACTATTTCAAATAGGTTAATTTTTTAGTAATAAGAATATGGTCATTTATTTTTGAAGGGATAACCAATGTAAGTGCGCGAACCGAGCATATTGAATTACCCCAAGCTCAAATTCAGCTTTTTAAAAACAAAATTCAGTAAATTGTAAGCTTTGATCTTCTCAATGTACACACCTGTCTTTCAGCCTCGAGGGTTGCTCTTTTTAATGTCGAGTTTTCTTCAATTATTGTTGAGATTTTAGCTTTAAAATTCAACTCTTTCTGTGACCATTCATCCGTCTTCTGACTGAATTCCACTTTTAACTCTTGATGAGCCTTTAATTCTTCTCGTCCCTAAAAAACACTTCCATCAAAAAGTTGCTTTAAGATTGTAACAGTGTTTAAAGTAGTAACATTACTTGAAACACTGTTAAAACTGTTAAGAGCAGATTTTGTTGTTTGACTGACAATCTCCAAAAATGTGTATTTAAGTTTGAGACTTGGACCTTATCTTTATATAAATAAATGATATCAATCATCATTGTAAGCAATGATCTTCTCAATGTACACACCTGTCTTTCAACTTCGAGGGTTGCTCTTTTTAATGTCGAGTTTTCTTCAATTATTGTTGAGATTTTAGCTTCAAAATTCAACTCTTTCTGTGACCATTCATCCGTCTTCTGACTGAATTCCACTTTTAACTCTTGATGAGCCTTTAATTCTTCGCGTCCCTGAAAAACACTTCTATCAAAAAGTTGCTTTAAATATTTTCAAGTAACAGTGTTTAATTTTTAATTGTAGTTGACGAAGTGAGAGTCTCCACTCAGTGTGTTAAAACATAATTCTTTGTCGACGTTTCGGCTACATGCCTTTGTCATAACAAAGTCGACAAAGAATTATGTTTTAACACACTGAGTGGAGACTCTCACTTCGTCAACTACAATTAAAAATAAATGATTGACCCACTCATAAGAGCAAAACAAGATTACCAGTAACAGTGTTTAAAGTAGTAACATTACTTTAAACACTGTTCACTGTTAAGGGCAGATTTTGTTGTTTAACTGACAATCTCCAAACATTTGTATTGAAGTTTGAGACTTGGACAGTTGGACCCCATCTTTTTATAAATAAATATTATCACTGTAAGCAATTATCTTCTCAATGAACATTGAACATTGTACACACCTGTCTTTCAACTTCGAGGATTGCTCCTTTTAGTGTTGAGTTTTCTTCTATTTTCGTTCTGATTGATTTTTTCGCATATTGATTAATTGAAGAGATTTTAGCTTCCAAATTCAACTCTTTCTGTGACCATTCATCCGTCTTCTGACTGAATTCCACTTTTAACTCTTGATGAGCCTTTAGTTCTTCGCGTCCCTAAAAAACACTTCTATCAGATCGAGGGATTAAATTATGCTACTAATAAAGAGAAGCACAATGAATATCTTGTGTGTAATCCTCATGTTGCTAAAAAACGCTTTATCAACTTATATAGTAGTGGAAAGTATGTAAATTAGATTCATTTTAACTTGGTTGTTTAGGCCAATATATTTAAGATAATTTTTAAACTTTAGTAGATATATTTTTGATGATGTGTGATGATGTTTGTGTCATTATATTTTGATTTGATTTGATTTATTTTATCAAAAAGCCGCAGAAAAGGGGACAGATTTTGTTGTCTGACTGACAATCTCTAAAAATTTGTATTGAAGTTTAAGACTTTGACCCTATCTTTTTATAAATATCATCTATCATCATACTAGTACGCAATGATCTTCTCAATATAAACACCTGTCTTTCAACTTCGAGGGTTGCTCTTTTTAGTGTTGAGTTTTCTTCAATTTTCCTTTTAGCATATTGATTAATTAAGGAGATTTTAGCTTTAAAATCTAACTCTTTCTGTGACCATTCATCCGTCTTCTGACTTAACTGTTCCTGTCCCTGAAAAGTCTTCTTTTATTGTAAGTGTTTCAGAATGCACAGTGCGCATCATTATAAGAATTTTCTCATACAGTCATACAGATTTCAAATACAGGTCTCTTTTTAATACCCAAAATCAGGATTATGTTCATTTCAAGAGAATCGCCGATGTTAACGTAATTTTAATGAATTACCTAGTGCTCAAATGCAGCTACTAAGTGTGTTTTCTACAACGTTTCTAAAATTGTGACTTTTCAAGTTTAAAACACGTGCATAATGCCGGCACATGCGGGATAACTATAAGTGGATACTTGGACTATAAATTACTATTATTACCTTAAGGCCAATAAATTTGGTTCACAATAAATTTGGTTTACAACAATTTTAGTCTAAATTTTGACTAAACTTATGGTAGACTAAATTTGTCGTTCTTTAAGGTACTGTTAACTGTAAAACACTTCGTATGATATAGTATTGAAGGTAGCAGTGTGATCCTTCCAGTCATTTCTTCTGTACAATGGTGTAAAAATCTGTATCGAAGTTTGAGTCTTTTTATAAATAGATATAATCGTCATTGTAAGCAATGATCTTCTCGATGTACACACCTGTTGTTCAACTTCGAGAATTGATCTTTTTAGTGTCGAGTTTTCTTCAATATACAATACAATTATTGTTTTAGTATATTGATTAATTGAAGAGATTTTAGCTTCAAAATTCAATTCCTTCTGTGACCAGTCATCTGTCTTCTGGCTGAATTCCACTTTTAACTCTTGATGAGCCTTTAATTCTTCGCGTCCCTGAAAAACACTTCTATCAAAAAGTTGCTTTAAACATTGTTAACTGTTAAGGGCAAATTTTGTTGTTTAACTGACAATCTCCAAAAATGTGTATTGAAGTTTGAGACTTGGACAGTTGGAATCTTTTTATAAATGAATTTCATCAATAATCATTACTAAGCAATGATCTTCTCAATGTACACACCTGTCTTTCAACTTCGAGGGTTGCTCTTTTTAATGTCGAGTTTTCTTCAATCATTGTTGAGATGTTAGCTTCCAAATTCAACTCTTTCTGTGACCATTCATCCGTCTTCTGACTGAATTCCACTTTTAACTCTTGATGAGCCTTTAATTCTTCGCGTCCCTAAAAAACACTTCTATCAAAAAGCCGCAGAAAAGGGGGCAGATTTTGTTGACTGACTGACAATCTCCAAAAATTTGTATTGCAGTTTAAGACTTTGACCCTATCTTTTTATAAATATCATCTATCTGAATCATACTAGTACGCAATGATCTTCTCAATATAAACACCTGTCTTTCAACTTCGAGGATTGCTCTTTTTAGTGTCGAGTTTTCTTCAATTTTCTTTTTAGCATATTGATTAATTAAGGAGATTTTAGCTTTAAAATCTAACTCTTTCTGTGACCATTCATCCGTCTTCTGACTTAACTGTTCCTGTCCCTAAAAAGTCTTTTTTTATTATTAGCGTTTCGGAATGCACAGTGCGCATCATTAGAAGAATTTTATCATACAGTCATACAGATTTCAAATAGGTCACTTTTGAGTACTTGAAATCAGGGATATGTTCATTTGAAGAGAATTGCCGATGTAAACGTAATTTTAATGAATTACCTAGTGTACCAAATGCAGCTACTAAGTGTGTTTTCTACAACATTTCTAAAATTGTGACTTTTCAAGTTTAAAACACACATAACGCCGGCACGGATACTTGGACTATAAATTACTATTATAACCAATAAATTTGGTTCACAATAAATTTGGTTTACAACAATTTTAGTCAAAATTTTGACTAAACTTATGGCAGACTAAATTTGTTGTTCTTAAGGTACTGTAAAACACTTCGTATGATATAGTATTGAAGGTAGCAGTGTGATCCTTCCAGTCATTCCTTCTACATTGGTGTAAAAATCTGTATCGAAGTTTGAGTCTTTTTATAAATAAATATCATCATTGTAAGCAATGATCTTCTCAATATACACACCTGTCTTTCAACTTGGAGGATTGCTCTTTTTAGTTTCAAGTTTTCTTCTTGTTTAGTTTTCACCTGTGAAAGGAACACCTCATGTGTCGTTCTAGCGTATTGATTAATTAAAAAAATTTCAGCTTTAAAATTCAACTCTTTCTGTGACCATTCATCCATTTTCTGACAGAACTCCACTTTTAACTCTTGATGAGCCTTTAATTCTTCGCGTCCCTGAAAAACACTTCTATCACAAAGTTGCTTTAAGATTGTAACAGTGTTTAAAGTAGTAACATTACTTGAAACACTGTTAACTGTTAGGGGCAGATTTTGTTGTTTGACTAACAATCTCCAAAAATTTGTATTGAAGTTTGAGACTTGGACCTTATCTTTTTATAAATAAATATCATCATTGCATTGTAAATTGCATTGCAATGATCTTCTCGATGTACAGTGTACACACCTGTTGTTCAACTTCGAGAATTGATCTTTTTAGTGTCGAGTTTTCTTCAATTATTGTTTTAGTATATTGATTAATTGAAGAGATTTTAGCTTCAAAATCTAACTCTTTCTGTGACCATTCATCCGTCTTCTGACTGAATTCCACTTTTAACTCTTGATGAGCCTTAGTGAAAGTGCTGGTGACGATGAGAAAGACCATAAACCAGGGATTCCTTCGGGAGCATGTAAGATTATATCCAAAGTTTGTTCGCCAATGGGGTGTGTCTGGGTGTCAAAGATCTTCAAGGTGGGTGCTACTTGTGATGAACTCTAGAAGGATGGGATGGTAATACTCGGTCTGGCCGTCTGGAAGCCCATAGAATTCCAGTTCAGAAACCGAGTAAGGAGGTGCGGCTACTGATGAGAAGCCTCCTTAAAGTTTATTTGGGTTAGAAACGACATCTGGGTCCCTACCCTCGCACAAGATTATTCTCAATTTTCTTGTTGTGTCCACAACAATTATTGTTTTAGTATATTGATTAATTGAAGAGATTTTAGCTTCAAAATCTAACTCTTTCTGTGACCATTCATCCGTCTTCTGACTGAATTCCACTTTTAACTCTTGATGAGCCTTTAATTCTTCGCGCCCCTGAAAAATTATTCTCTGACATTATATCAAAACGTTGTTTAAAACGCTGCTTAACACACTTTTTAAGTACCAAGCTTTTGGAAGAAATTTCTTCCCTCTCGAATCTCGATTAATACATTGATTATAAAGCTTTTGATAAAATATACTTGTTTCTTTGCTTCAAGCAGTGCCATTTTCAATGCTGAGTCCAGATCCCGCTGTGCATTTAATTGTGCGTTGACTGTCCTCGTCTTATCTTCTTCTAAAGCCAGGGAATCACTAAAGGAAAATACAAGTCGACTAATGACATCATTTCCAAAAAATGAATGCGCTCTCTCAAAATAAAGCCAGAAGGTGTCTTCAATGACATGTCCCCCAAAGAGATAACTCATCTAGAGACCTCTGAACTTTTAACAGTTAATAAAGAGATTCCAGATGGTCAGTGGAAACGATTAAGTACCTTAGCTCAGCCATCCTCTTTATCTTGCTTATGTTATCATCCTTCATCCAACAATGTATCTTTTTCAATTATTTGCTTTCGTACAATGATGTTATCCTTATTCTCCTGGAAAGGTGGCGTTTACTTACTTTATTTTAGGTTACTTTAGGTTAAGGTTGCAATTTTCTGCACTACCTTACAATATGGTGCATAAATTAATAATTATTTAATCTGCCCCAGCTCGTTTCCCGAATAATCAGTAACAGCTGTGGACAGGTTCATTATATCTTTATGGACAATGGACTTCAATGATTAAACTGCAAGTGCCCTGTGTTAATTTTAACAGTCGGTAATTAAGTGGAAATCTACCATGATCGATGGTTGAGACAACTGGTCCAGATAAGCCCGTGCCAACCGGTAATTTTCAACTTCATTCTGCAAATTGAACAAAGAATATTAACAAGGTACTGGAACTGTAGCTTCTACAAAACTAAAATTGTCATGCTACTGATCATTTATCATACTATTTAACTATTTAACTTGGTCCAGCATACAATTACATTAGTAGAAAGAGTATTCCCCATCTTGTTCACCCCACCACCTTCTTCCCTTTGTAAAAGATACCACCGCTGTTAATTTGTCTCCGGGGGGTGAGGCTTAGCCTCCCCTTTCCTTACTTTCTTTTTATGTCTACCATATTCATCTAGTTATACTTCGGGTGAGCTTTATATCCAATTTCTATTGTATTTGGGCCAGTTGGTAGATCACCGACCGGCTATAAGCCGGCTTATAGCCGGCTTATAACCACTTTCGATACCTAAACGGCTAATAGCCGGCTTATAACCGGCTAATAGCCGTTTTCACTGAATTTCTTATAGCCAATACCTAAACGGCTAATAGCAGGCTTATAACCGGCTAATAGCCGTCGCTCAACAACAAATGTAAGCGGCTACTAACCGGCTATAAGCCGGCTTATAGCCGGCTATACAAATTGTAGCCGGCTATAAGCCGGTTTATAGCCGGCTTATAACCGGCTTATAGCCGGTCGGTGATCTACCAATTTCCCTGTATTTGTTATTATAGATAGAATTTATAATCGTGTAAAATATCGTGTAATCGTGTAAATAGAATACAAGTTTACGACAGAAAGTCTTGTTTTTAAAAGCATCATATTTAATAGATTCAGATTCAACCTAGATTGTTATGAAATGTGAGAGTACAATTCTCCATGCAATACTTATTAAGGATTCGTTAAACTTATAAATTAACTTAGCATAATAATAGAGGTAAATGAAACAATGCAATACGAATCATATTTTATCAGTAAAAACAGACATAAGATTAAAAATTATACATAGTTTAAGAACTCATATGATCGTACTGACCATGGTCATTGATAATCAGACTACTAAAAATCCTAACATCAATTAATGGCATCATGTATAACGTACAAAAGTACGGGCATCATGTATAACGTACAAAAGTACGGGCATCATGTATAACGTACAAAAGTACGGGCATCATGTATAACGTACAGAAGTACAGGCATCATGTATAACGTACAAAAGTATCCCTTGAAAGCGCACGAAAAAAGATTATCACCGCGATATCTGAAATAAAATATAAATATTTGATAAGCAAAAACATTGTTAGTATATTATAATCATATGATACCATTTCGTAAATTTAATTCAACAATCAATAATAATCTCATTTTAATCCGATTTAATCGTAGTCCTTGAAGATGCTGCCAGAGAAGGACATCATAACCCCTAGTATCCCTTGCAACTGCTCAGCTCGAAGGACCCCTAATGTCCCTTACAACTGCTCAGCTCGAAGGACCCCTAATGTCCCTTACAACTGCTCAGCTCGAAGGACCCCTAATGTCCCTTACAACTGCTCAGCTCGAAGGACCCCTAATGTCCTTTACAACTGCTCAGCTCGAAGGACCCCTAATGTCCCTTACAACTGCTCAGCTCGAAGAACCCCTAATGTCCTTTACAACTGCTCAGCTCGAAGGACCCCTAATGTCCCTTACAACTGCTCAGCTCGAAGAACCCCTTATGTCCCTTACAACTGCTCAGCTCGAAGAACCCCTTATGTCCCTAACAACTGCTCAGCTCGAAGAACCCCTTATGTCCTTTACAACTGCTCAGCTTGAAGAACCCCTAATGTCCCTTACAACTGCTCAGCTCGAAGGACCCCTAATGTCCTTTACAACTGCTTAGCTCGAAGAACCCCTAATGTCCCTTACAACTGCTCAGCTCGAAGGACCCCTAATGTCCTTTACAACTGCTCAGCTCGAAGAACCCCTAATGTCCCTTACAACTGCTCAGCTCGAAGAACCCCTAATGTCCCTTACAACTGCTCAGCTCGAAGCCCCTATCAAGATTCTAAAAAAAGTGCGATGAGATTGGATTTTGAGACTAAAAGTGCGATTTTCACGTGTCACGTGCAGTGGCGAAATGTACGCCCCCCACCCCCCCCCCCCCCCCCCTACCCAGCCTGCAAGATTTCTTGCCCCACAAATTATTCTCTATTTAAAAAGATTTCAGATTTCGCGAGTCCCTTTGTGAGCGAAATTGTAAGTATGTCGCTTTATGTCGCTCGAAAATTTACGTGCGTATTTTTATGAAGTATATAGAGTTACATATTGTAAATCTGATATGCCCATTGTAGCACAATGGTTTAGAGCGCGATCGCTTAGCAGTTGACTCCGGTTCGAACCTCGTCGACGGTCATTTTTTTGGCAATTATTAATTATTTTACTAAAATTATCATCAGAGCACCTTGTAATATACTTTATCCGATAAATTATACTGTTCGTACTTCAGCTAGAGAAGACTGGCATTTAAGGATTTGTCCGGGGAAGGCCTCGTTCGCACTAGAACATGTCAATTGTCAAATTATGGTAAACGGATTTATCTGGTAATGTTTGTTTTGTTTTAAGGCTAAAATTTAGAATGGAATCAATGTGATGAGGATCCAGAGTTAATTACCTGTTAGGATTAATAAGTCAGTTCTACAGTTGAAAAGACTCTTTTTCAAACTTTTAATGAAGAAATATTCACTATGCCTAATAGGCATTGCCTATGGCAGTATTAAGAATACTCTGAGAAAGATTGAGTCGACTTTAGCCAGGAACAGTACCTTGAGATTTCGACCATTACCAGACCTCCTTTAATGGTAACCATGGTAACTATAGTAACCACTGTTAATCTTGATCTTATAAACCGATTAATATCGACAACAACTAGTATCCTTTAAGACTTAGACAGTACAGAAAAGTAAGCCGTCAGAGTAACACAACCAGTAATAATTCAAAACAATCAATACCAAAAGTACAATGACCATAAAAAGTCGGCTTGATGATAAAGACGAAGGGACCAGCAAGATGAGGAATATTATTATGAAAATGTAAGCGCGCGACCGGATATGTAGTGCTGAAAGAGGGTGCCGAAATCTCGTGGTTAAACTCGCGATATTGGGGTGAGATTTATACTAAATTCGTCAAAATCTCGCACTAATTGCGCGCGGCAAAGTTGTTATACTTTAACCACGTGATCTCACACCGCACTAAGTTCCGAATTTACAAAGTCTTAAGCAAATTTTTGTGTCGCTTAAATCTTTTAAATTTCAAATTTTTAGTGTATTATAATCATATGATACCATTTCGTAAATTTAATTCAACAATCAATAATAATCTCATTTTAATCCGATTTGATCGTAGTCCTTGAAGATGCTGCCAGAAAAGGACACCAGAACCCCTAATGTCCTTTACAACTGCTCAGCTCGAAGGACCCCTAATGTCCTTTACAACTGCTCAGCTCGAAGAACCCCTAATGTCCCTTACAACTGCTTAGCTCGAAGAACCCCTAATGTCCCTTACAACTGCTTAGCTCGAAGGACCCCTAATGTCCTTTACAACTGCTTAGCTCGAAGAACCCCTAATGTCCCTTACAACTGCTTAGCTCGAAGAACCCCTAATGTCCTTTACAACTGCTCAGCTCGAAGAACCCCTAATGTCCCTTACAACTGCTCAGCTCGAAGAACCCCTAATGTCCCTTACAACTGCTTAGCTCGAAGAACCCCTAATGTCCTTTACAACTGCTTAGCTCGAAGAACCCCTAATGTCCTTTACAACTGCTCAGCTCGAAGGACCCCTAATGTCCTTTACAACTGCTCAGCTCGAAGAACCCCTAATGTCCTTTACAACTGCTTAGCTCGAAGTACCCCTAATGTCCTTTACAACTGCTTAGCTCGAAGAACCCCTAATGTCCTTTACAACTGCTCAGCTCGAAGGACCCCTAATGTCCTTTACAACTGCTCAGCTCGAAGAACCCCTAATGTCCCTTACAACTGCTTAGCTCGAAGAACCCCTAATGTCCCTTACAACTGCTTAGCTCGAAGGACCCCTAATGTCCTTTACAACTGCTCAGCTCGAAGAACCCTTAATGTCCTTTACAACTGCTCAGCTCGAAGGACCCCTAATGTCCTTTACAACTGCTTAGCTCGGAGGACCCCTAATGTCCTTTACAACTGCTCAGCTCGAAGAACCCCTAATGTCCTTTACAACTGCTCAGCTCGAAGAACCCCTAATGTCCCTTACAACTGCTCAGCTCGAAGAACCCCTAATGTCTCTTACAACTGCTCAGCTCGAAGAACCCCTAATGTCCCTTACAACTGCTTAGCTCGAAGAACCCCTAATGTCCCTAACAACTGCTCAGCTCGAAGGACCCCTAATATCCCTTACAACTGCTTAGCTCGAAGGACCCCTAATATCCTTTACAACTGCTCAGCTCGAAGGACCCCTAATGTCCTTTACAACTGCTCAGCTCGAAGGACCCCTAATGTTCTTTACAACTGCTCAGCTCGAAGAACCCCTAATGTCCCTTATACCTTACAACTGCTCAGCTCGAAGAACCCCTAATGTCCCTTACAACTGCTTAGCTCGAAGAACCCCTAATATCCCTTACAACTGCTCAGCTCGAAGAACCCCTAATGTCCCTTACAACTGCTCAGCTCGAAGGGCCCCTAATGTCCCTTACAACTGCTCAGCTCGAAGGACCCCTAATGTCCTTTACAACTGCTCAGCTCGAAGAACCCCTAATATCCCTTACAACTGCTCAGCTCGAAGAACCCCTAATATCCCTTACAACTGCTCAGCTCGAAGGGCCCCTAATGTCCCTTACAACTGCTCAGCTCGAAGGACCCCTAATGTCCTTTACAACTGCTCAGCTCGAAGAACCCCTAATGTCCCTTACAACTGCTTAGCTCGAAGAACCCCTAATATCCCTTACAACTGCTCAGCTCGAAGAACCCCTAATGTCCCTTACAACTGCTCAGCTCGAAGGGCCCCTAATGTCCCTTACAACTGCTCAGCTCGAAGGACCCCTAATGTCCTTTACAACTGCTCAGCTCGAAGAACCCCTAATATCCCTTACAACTGCTCAGCTCGAAGAACCCCTAATGTCCCTTACAACTGCTCAGCTCGAAGGGCCCCTAATGTCCCTTACAACTGCTCAGCTCGAAGGGCCCCTAATGTCCCTTACAACTGCTCAGCTTGAAGAACCCCTAATGTCCCTTACAACTGCTCAGCTCGAAGGGCCCCTAATGTCCCTTACAACTGCTCAGCTCGAAGGACCCCTAATGTCCTTTACAACTGCTTAGCTCGAAGAACCCCTTATGTCCCCTACAACTGCACAGCTCGAAGAACCCCTAATGTGCTTTACAACTGCTCAGCTTGAAGAACCCCTTATGTCCCCTACAACTGCACAGCTCGAAGAACCCCTAATGTCCCTTACAACTGCTCAGCTCGAATGACCCCTAATGTCCTTAACAACTGCTCAGCTCTAAGGACCCCTAATGTCCCTTACAACTGCTCAGCTCGAAGGACCCCTAATGTCCCTTACAACTGCTCAGCTCGAAGAACCCCTAATGTCCCTTACAACTGCTCAGCTCTAAGGACCCCTAATGTCCCTTACAACTGCTCAGCTCGAAGGACCCCTAATGTCCTTTACAACTGCTCAGCTCGAAGAACCCCTAATGTTCCTTACAACTGCTCAGCTTGAAGAACCCCTAATGTCCCTTACAACTGCTCAGCTTGAAGAACCCCTAATGTCCCTTACAACTGCTCAGCTCGAAGGACCCCTAATGTCCCTTACAACTGCTCAGCTCGAAGGACCCCTAATGTCCTTTACAACTGCTCAGCTCGAAGGACCCCTAATGTCCCTTACAACTGCTCAGCTCGAAGAACCCCTAATGTCCCTTACAACTGCTCAGCTCGAAGGACCCCTAATGTCCCCTACAACTGCTCAGCTCGAAGGACCCCTAATGTCCTTTACAACTGCTCAGCTCGAAGGACCCTAATGTCCTTTACAACTGCTAAGCTCGAAGGACCCCTAATGTCCCTTACAACTGCTCAGCTCGAAGAACCCCTAATGTCCTTTACAACTGCTCAGCTCGAAGGACCCCTAATGTCCCTTACAACTGCTCAGCTCGAAGAACCCCTAATGTCCTTTACAACTGCTCAGCTCGAAGGACCCCTAATGTCCCTTACAACTGCTCAGCTCGACAGCACCGTCCCAGTTCCCCATATGATTCGCACACACGCACCCACACCCTGTGGGGCACTCTCTGATAACCCTTCCCCCCACTGAACTAGTGAACCAGGCCCTCAAATGCTGGAAGTGTCCACCATGCATACACTCCACACAGAAGGAGCCTAGGTTGGAGACAGGAAGTCGGCAGATAGCGCACTCCCACACTTGGCCCGCTACTTCAAACCTCTTAGTGGGGGCCAGGGAGCCGGGGGACCGGTGCACTGTGTTCAGCACTTCTGCTCGCTTGTTCAGCAGCTTCCAACTGTACAGCACTGAGGCGTAGTTTAGCTTTATCAGGTCCCCGTTTATACCACTTCTTTCGTAGGGGAAAAGAATATCCTGAAACAGAGGAGTTAGCCTCTACACACAGTGCACAATAAAACTAACTAATTATCAGAAACATAAACATAATCAGAAACATAAACATAAACTAGTTGAATTTCTAAGAATCAAAAAATGTCACAATTTTATATCATATAATACATAATATTCATCAAGTAAAGTAAAGTCAATAATCGTATTAGTTAGGGTAATTGTATTGGCGACATTGCATAATATCAAGATGATTATCGATTGAGGAGAGGAGCGATAAATCTAAAATCGAGACACTGACCTCCCTGATACGAGGAGAGTTGGTAATTAGAAAAGTAATAATTAGTGCAATTAGTGCAATTAGTGTTAGTACAATTAGTGTTAGTGCAATTAGTGTTAGTACAATTAGTGTTAGTACAATTAGTGTTAGTACAATTAGTGTTAGTGCAATTAGTGTTAGTGCAATTAGTGTTAGTGCAATTAGTGTTAGTGCAATTAGTGCAATTAGTGTTAGTACAATTAGTGTTAGTGCAATTAGTGTTAGTGCAATTAGTGCAATTAGTTTTAGTACAATTAGTGTTAGTGCAATTAGTGTTAGTGCAATTAGTGCAATTAGTGCAATTAGCTGAGGAACACTGACCTCCCTGATACGAGGAGAAGTGGTGCTGTCTGACTCAGGCTCACTGAAGTCCTGCTCTATAGATACAGAGGTTGAGAGGTTATCCGTTAGACTGAACAACATGTTGCCTGGAGGTATAAACTGGAACCTGCCCCCTCCCTCGTTCTTCAACTGACTCTGGTGTTATACGTCACTCTTTAAAGTTCACGTCTTTATGTAGAAATTGTTTAAATTTATTATTAAAGGGAGGGAGGGAGGGAGGGAGGGAGGGAGGGAGGGAGGGAGGGAGGGAGGGAGGGAGGGAGGGAGGGAGGGAGGGAGGGAGGGAGGGAGGGAGGGAGGGAGGGAGGGAGGGAGGGAGGGAGGGAGGGAGGATCTTTACATACCTTAACCTTCGCTTCCACCAGAGCACACATCCCATAAACCATTGCTAAAGTCTGAACGTCCTTCTTCATGTAATAGAACTCAATATAACTGTCAATCAGTTTCCTCCCGTACGGGTATTGGTCCCACGGTTTCTTCTCGTACAGATGTCTCACAACTTGCGGATCAGTGGTAATCTTGAGAACCCTCCACAACTGTACCAGGTCCATCCTGAGTCTGTTCTTAGCCACCTCGATGTTAATATCACAGATCTCCCCCAGGTCCTTGTCTGAATCTAAAGAGTACTCAGCAGCTAGCTCCCTGCAACTCTGGGGCAGGATCCTGCTAATGTCCCGTATCTGTACTGGGAGGATGTAACTCCGTTGGTGGGGCTCGCAGTGTCCTGAGCGCGTCTGGCGCGTGCGCGTCGAGTTCAGGTAGTAGTACTCTGCTACAGAGGGGGTGGAGGGCGTTTTATCCCGCTTTTTCCCCGTCAGAGAGGAGATCTTAGTGTTGAGCATCTGGTGGTATGCGCGGAATGTTTTCTGTCTGACTGGCTCGTTAACAGCTGACTCCCCGGACGCAACAGGTCGTTTGAACACCACCAGGTAGTTATTAGCACAGAAGCGCGCTCCGCAGATCCGGGGAAATGGCACGTTCTTGTCGTAGTTGGTCTTTGTTCTCTTTGTTGTCTGAGTTATCTGTAAAATAGTTCTGTAGATGCAATAGATAAGTGATGTAAAATATTATGACTAGCAACTCATTAGTTGGTTATATAATAAAAAATATTTTCTATCTGAACTTTTTTACTTACATCTTCCTCTATTTCATTGCACACTTCTTTAAAGTCGCTACAGATGAAACTTATCAGTTTCTCTTGGTTCCCGTTACTCTCCAGCATTATTTCCTGGGACTTCCCGTCAAAGTGTTTCAGATAAGTATCTCTCTTTTCTATGCTGAGAGGAAAGTCGTCGAAAGAAAATGCGGGCACATCTGGCGTTGTTAGATCCATCTGCAATTAAATAATGATTGTATAATATATTATATATATTAGAAACATATATATTTCTAACTATATTTTATTTTATTTAGTACTTACTCTGTAATCAATACTATAAATTGATAATTTTATTTTAATCAAACAATTACCTTCAGTTTTACTGTCAACTTTTGAGACTTGAAAACTTTTTTCCGGTCGACAGAGTGCACAATAATTCCATACTTTTCAGTATTCTGCATTATTTCAGTTGTTATAGTTGTACTGGAATTGGGGGAGGAGGACAGGGTTGGCATTTCGCTGCCGAATGCTGAAAAAGTACACTATTTTTTATTGTGTTCCTCTACTACACGTGTTCCACTACACGTGTTACACTGGTAACAGTTAACAGTTAACACGTGTTACTATTTCAGAATTGTCATTAGTAGCCAGTACTTGTTTAAACATTAACTCCTATAAAGCTATAATAGTATATATGAAACATTTGTCATGGAGTTGTAGAGGGAGTTATGTGCCTCGCCGGGCTAAAGTAGTGGATGACCTTGCTGTACGGCAAGTTAAACAAGGATCTGAAACTACTAGGTTCCGTACAGACTCAACTCTGCACCCGTGTCAATATGTTCATTATATGCAAGCCTCTTGATTTATAATCACCGAGTCTAGTAATTGTTTAAGAGAGTTCTCTGGCAGTTACGAAACTCGAGAGACTGTGGGATACTGAAGGGAAAGGAAGCAGTTCTAACGAGCTCTTCTCAAACACAAGGATATAACTTGTGAACTCGGCTAGTATATATGAAACATTTGTCATGGAGTTGTAGAGGGAGTTATGTGCCTCGCCGGGCTAAAGTAGTGGATGACCTTGCTGTACGGCAAGTTAAACAAGGATCTGAAACTACTAGGTTCCGTACAGACTCAACTCTGCACCCGTGTCAATATGTTCATTATATGCAAGCCTCTTGATTTATAATCACCGAGTCTAGTAATTGTTTAAGAGAGTTCTCTGGCAGTTACGAAACTCGAGAGACTGTGGGATACTGAAGGGAAAGGAAGCAGTTCTAACGAGCTCTTCTCAAACACAAGGATATAACTTGTGAACTCGGCTAGTATATATGAAACATTTGTCATGGAGTTGTAGAGGGAGTTATGTGCCTCGCCGGGCTAAAGTAGTGGATGACCTTGCTGTACGGCAAGTTAAACAAGGATCTGAAACTACTAGGTTCCGTACAGACTCAACTCTGCACCCGTGTCAATATGTTCATTATATGCAAGCCTCTTGATTTATAATCACCGAGTCTAGTAATTGTTTAAGAGAGTTCTCTGGCAGTTACGAAACTCGAGAGACTGTGGGATACTGAAGGGAAAGGAAGCAGTTCTAACGAGCTCTTCTCAAACACAAGGATATAACTTGTGAACTCGGCTAGTATATATGAAACATTTGTCATGGAGTTGTAGAGGGAGTTATGTGCCTCGCCGGGCTAAAGTAGTGGATGACCTTGCTGTACGGCAAGTTAAACAAGGATCTGAAACTACTAGGTTCCGTACAGACTCAACTCTACACCCGTGTCAATATGTTCATTATATGCAAGCCTCTTGATTTATAATCACCGAGTCTAGTAATTGTTTAAGAGAGTTCTCTGGCAGTTACGAAACTCGAGAGACTGTGGGATACTGAAGGGAAAGGAAGCAGTTCTAACGAGCTCTTCTCAAACACAAGGATATAACTTGTGAACTCGGCTAGTATATATGAAACATTTGTCATGGAGTTGTAGAGGGAGTTATGTGCCTCGCCGGGCTAAAGTAGTGGATGACCTTGCTGTACGGCAAGTTAAACAAGGATCTGAAACTACTAGGTTCCGTACAGACTCAACTCTGCACCCGTGTCAATATGTTCATTATATGCAAGCCTCTTGATTTATAATCACCGAGTCTAGTAATTGTTTAAGAGAGTTCTCTGGCAGTTACGAAACTCGAGAGACTGTGGGATACTGAAGGGAAAGGAAGCAGTTCTAACGAGCTCTTCTCAAACACAAGGATATAACTTGTGAACTCGGCTAGTATATATGAAACATTTGTCATGGAGTTGTAGAGGGAGTTATGTGCCTCGCCGGGCTAAAGTAGTGGATGACCTTGCTGTACGGCAAGTTAAACAAGGATCTGAAACTACTAGGTTCCGTACAGACTCAACTCTGCACCCGTGTCAATATGTTCATTATATGCAAGCCTCTTGATTTATAATCACCGAGTCTAGTAATTGTTTAAGAGAGTTCTCTGGCAGTTACGAAACTCGAGAGACTGTGGGATACTGAAGGGAAAGGAAGCAGTTCTAACGAGCTCTTCTCAAACACAAGGATATAACTTGTGAACTCGGCTAGTATATATGAAACATTTGTCATGGAGTTGTAGAGGGAGTTATGTGCCTCGCCGGGCTAAAGTAGTGGATGACCTTGCTGTACGGCAAGTTAAACAAGGATCTGAAACTACTAGGTTCCGTACAGACTCAACTCTGCACCCGTGTCAATATGTTCATTATATGCAAGCCTCTTGATTTATAAGGGGGGTATAAGCTATAAGGGGGGGGGGTATAAGCTATAAGGGGGGGGGGTATAAGGGAGGTATAAGCTATAAGGGGGTATAAGCTATAAGGGGAGGTATAAGCTATAAGGGGGGTATAAGCTAAAGGGGGGTATAAGCTAAAGGGGGGGGGGGGGGCGTATAACTTATAAGCTATAAGGGGGTATAAGCTACCAGAAAACAGGATGATTTAAAATGCCAAAGAAAAATAAAATAATTATTTATTATTACACATTTTAAAACAATGTTTGTGTTGTTTTGATAAAAAGCGGCTAATTAAAACTTACAGGTACTCTCCTTAACCTCAATAGGAGAAGAAAGGTTGAGTGAGAGATTGAGCCGAGAGGAAGAGCTCTGGGACTCTAGAACCCAAGTTTTAAAGTTGCCAGTGTTGCTGAGTCCTATAAGTGTAGTGTTGCCACCAGATTGGGATGATATCCTCGCTTCTATTATCAAACTGTCAGATCTACTCGGGAGGAAGCGGTCACAGGTCGGGTCCTTGTCAAACTCACATACCTGGTAGAAGTAACCATAGTTACCATTAGTTACCATTAGTTACCATTAGTTACCATTAGTTACCATTAGTTACCATTAGTTACTATAGTTACCATAGTTACCATTAGTTACCATTAGTTACTATAGTTACCATAGTTACCATTCGTTACCATTCGTTACCATTATTTACCATTAGTTACCATTAGTTACCATAATGGTAATACTAATACTCACATACCTGGTACAAGTGTGTTACTACTCCTACTACTAGTGTAACTATGGTAACACTACTAGTGTTACCAGGTAGAAGTGTGTTACTACTCCTGGCATTTGCAATTAAATATTATCTTATTACTCTTTTTATGGGCTTCAATTCGAGATACATAATTACATTATATAATACTAGGAAGAATAAAAGGATGGATCAGTAAGATACCTTAGGAGCTACTCCATTCACTTTGTTATCTGGAACAATAAGAGCTAAAAACACATTCCTTGAGTCCAGCGGGTCGTACAAAGCCCTCCAAACTTGCTCTCCGATCCTCTTCTCCTGTCAGACAGAAACGTAGAATAAATAGCACAAAACACACTAATAAGCTAATAATACGGACCTTTACTGATAGTTGAAATTCGACATATGACGTCATCTAGCGTCATCTAGCGTCATCTAGCGTGAAATATCGCCAGATGATGATAGATGACGCTAGATGACGCTAGATGACGCTAGATGACGCCAATTAGCGACATTGTCGCTAAGTGCACGGCACCTTTCGAATGTCGCTATCTAGCGCTATCTAGCGCTATCTAGCGCTATCTAGCGCTATCTAGCGCTATCTAGCGCTATATGACGCTATATGACGCTATATGACGCTAGGTGACGCTAGATGACGCTAGATGACGCTAAGCACGCAGCACTGACGCCAGGCGACAGATAGCGCTATTTTCATAAAAATTCTAGGGACGACATCTAGCGTCATCTAGCGTCATATGTTGCCGCGACATCTGACGCTATCTGACGCCATCTAGCGATATCTGACGTCATCTGACGACATCTGTCGCGACGACATCTGACGCAGGCGACATCAAGCGCTGGATAGCGGGATAAGTCAGTTTACGACAGTTCACGCTATCTAGCGCTATATAGCGCCAGATAGCGCTATATAGCGTCAGATGTCGTTGCGACATATAGCGCTAGATAGCGTTAGATAGCGCTAGATAGCGCTAGATAGCGCTAGATAGCGCTAGATAGCGCTAGATAGCGACATTCGAAAGGTGCCGTGCACTTAGCGACAATGTCGCTAATTGGCGTCATCTAGCGTCATCTAGCGTCATCTAGCGTCATCTATCATCATCTGGCGATATTTCACGCTAGATGACGCTAGATGACGCTAGATGACGTCATATGTCGAATTTAAACTATCAGTAAAGGTCCAATAATACTACAACACTATAAAACTGTACTTATTGTATACAGTGTATATAATATACATACTATACACTTGTTGGGGAGGTGGCAAACTTCCACCACCTCTCCATTATTTTAATGTCTAATTTAACATAATTATAATATGGGCTGATTACATTTGACTCCCTACACATACCTTGACTGGATCCCTGCACATACCTTGACTGACTCCCTGCACATACCTTGACTGACTCCCTGCACATACCTTGACTGACTCCCTTCACATACCTTGACTGACTCCCTGCACATACCTTGACTGACTCCCTACACATACCTTGACTGGATCCCTGCACATACCTTGACTGACTCCCTGCACATACCTTGACTGACTCCCTGCACATACCTTGACTGACTCCCTTCACATACCTTGACTGACTCCCTGCACATACCTTGACTGACTCCCTGCACATACCTTAACTGACTCACTGCACATACCTTGACTGACTCCCTGCACATACCTTGACTGACTCCATGCACATACCTTGACTGACTCCCTGCACATACCTTAACTGACTCACTGCACATACCTTGACTGACTCCCTGCACATACCTTGACTGACTCCCTGCACATACCTTGACTGACTCCCTGCACATACCTTGACTGACTCCCTGCACATACCTTGACTGACTCCCTGCACATACCTTGACTGACTCCCTGTACATACCTTGACTGACTCCATGCACATACCTTGACTGACTCCCTGCACATACCTTGACTGACTCCCTGCACATACCTTGACTGGCGTCTTAGGATTTTTCCAGTTCCACAGTTTGACAGTTTTGTCCAAACTACAAGTGAGAAAGTAATGGTCCTCGTGTGGTGACCAGTCTAAGTGTGTTATTCTGTTGCAGTGACCTGAGAGTGTTTTATATCATGTTCATTTGCAGTCACTGTTAAATATATCAACATATTTCGGATTTTTTGCAATAAAGTATGAGCGTTTTTAACGGTAACCCTAATAAGTGTTAACCCTCATGTTCTTTAAAGGCTTGTTTTGTGTCATCTGGGAGATTAATAATAAGAATTCAAATTATCAGCCATAACTACTCTCATACCTTGTTTTTTAGGGAATTATCGGTCGCGATTATCGGGGTGAATAACCTAGTCAAATTATGTAATTATAATTGAATATCCCTTTAGTAACCTGAATAAGCCTGACAATGGTTTGCCCTCCTTTTATCCCAAATCTTTATGTCACGGTCATGACATGTAGCAAAGAGGTTGTAATTTCTTTTACTCATAGCAACCAGGTTTATCTTTGAGGCAGCAGAGTTTCCTTTAAATCTGAAGAGAGAAAGATCTTTGAACGAACAAATATAAAAAGAAAGATTTTACCACTGACAGCTACTACAATTTATAGTGAAATAAAATTTAAAATGAAATGAAAGTAAAATTAAAACAAAAGTGTAATATAAAGTGAAGGACTGACCTACTGACATTGTCTAGTGTGTCAGCGTCCCACAACAGAGCCATGTCATCCTGAGAACCACTCAGGATGTGAGACTCATTGTATGCCCAGTCGATTGAGTTCACCATGCTCATTTGATCCAAGAAACTGTGCTGCTCTAAAAATCCTGCTTCAGAGAATCCTCCAAGAACAACCTAGTTATAGTTTTTCTAGGTAACCAGGTAACCAGGTAACCAGGTAACCAAGTAACCAGGTAACCAGGTAACCAGGTAACCAGGTAACCAGGTAATCCTCCAAGAACAACCTAGTTATAGTTTTTCTAGGTAACCAGGTAACCAGGTAACCAGGTAACCAGGTAACCAGGTAACCAGGTAATCCTCCAAGAACAACCTAGCTATAGTTTTTCTAGGTGATAATTCAGAACAAAGCAAAGAACTTTGACTGGGAAGAATATGTTGAGAGTATTGACAAAAACGTAACTATTATTAAAAACATAACTAGAACTGTTATTAACGAAACTAGCAAACGTAAAGATGTAGTCAATATTACTTACATTTGCTCTATCTGTATACGCATACAACTGGCTCTTTGGGGCACATCTAATGGTATCTTTAAACGGACCATGTAAAACAAGAGGCCGTTTCATGTGCTTCATGAACTTACAATCTTGACTGATGTCATCAGTAATTTTGTGGGCGTACAGACCTGAAAAGTTTAAAGATATGAATAGATTTGATTTATTTATTAATTATATATTTAGATTTAAAACATAAATCTAGAAATTAAATTATTATATTATTACATAATCTATCACAAGAGGGACTATAAAATCTGTGAATATATGGAAATTGCTTATAATATGCACAATAGTCTCACAATCAGATCCATACTCGAAATTAATGATCTTAAATTTTTGTATTTATTCTCAACGATGATTTAAGAAAAAGAATTGAAAAAGTCGTTACCTGCTGGACATAGCTTTAATACAAACTTCTTGTCATTTGTTACGTCAAAGGACACTCCCAGATTTGATGTTTGATTGTATAATGCCATTATTTCATAATTCACATGAGTGTTCAGTGTCCCAGCTCATGAATAATCGTACATCTGTAAAGTGTTTGTGACATATAATTCGTATTGAATAACTGCTGATATAAAATATGTCATACCTAGCCTATTGCCAATAAACTTTCAGAACATAAAGTGATAACTCCCTGTTCTAATAAATGGATTTGAAATATTTAAATTTGAGCAATAAAATGGTTGAAATCATTTATCATCACTATCGATTTGCAGAATAAAATTGAGCGTGCACGCTGGAAACGATCTACTGTCAACTCAACAGAGGAACGTTATATTTATTTAGAGACAATTTTGAATACATTTTTTAGAGACGGCACTCAATCTTTAGAGATAAAGGAGAGAAGATGGAGAAGATATAGACAGCCAATCCTTTGAGTCATGAGACTCCACACGAGTCTCATGACTCGTGTGGAGTCTCCACACGAGTGCATAAAGTTATCACTTTATACACTGAAATCTTTCAAAATTGGTGGGTTTGCCCAAATATAGTAGAGAAGATGTTCTGTTGATTCTTAAAAAGTTAAATCCTAACAAGGCCCCTGGCCCTGATGGGATTCATGGGAGAGTCCTCAAAAACTGTGCCCAAAGCCTTGCATACCCACTTAGTGTTTTATTTAACCTGTCTTTCTCGAGCGGATGCATACCCCCTGATTGGAAGCTGGCACTTGTAGTACCAGTGCACAAAAAGGGCGATAAGTCTTCGGTTGAGAACTACAGGCCTATCTCGTTAACATCTCTTGTAATGAAAGTCTTTGAAAGGTGCATAAAGACTGCATTATACGCTGCATGTTCTGATCTGTTGGATGACTGACAACACGGTTTTGTTAATGAACGTTCATGCACAACCCAAATGATACCTTTCACGGACAATCTTGCACTTGCATTGAATAACAGGTCCAGGACTGATATAATATATTTTGATTTTGCGAAAGCTTTTGATAGCGTTTCGCATGACCTCATTTTAAGTAAATTAAAGAATATTTTTAATGTCGATGGACTAATGCTTAAATTTATTAAGTCCTATCTTGAGGGGCGACAACAACAAGTAGTGATAGGAGGCCAAACGTCTTCTTCTCTACCAGTTCGGTCTGGTGTCCCTCAAGGTTCTATACTTGGCCCTTTATTGTTTGTAATATTTATAAATGACATGTTCTCCTGTGTCTCTGAAGGCACCAATATCGCCCTTTATGCAGATGACACTAAAATTTGGAGGGAGATCCTTGGTTACCCTGACCATCACATAATCCAAAATGACATCAACAGATTATATGATTGGTCAGTGAGAAATCGAATGAAGTTCCACCCACAAAAGTGCAAAGCCCTCTCTGTGTCCCTGCAAAGAAACGTGCTGGATAACTTGCCATTCAATACCTTCTTTTATAAACTTTCTGGAAGTGATATTGACTTTGTGCCCTCTCAGTCAGATTTAGGAGTCGCAATAAACTCCAGGTTTAATTGGGGTGCACAATGTAAAGCGCTTGTTTCCAAAGCTACCTCTAGACTTGGACTACTTAAGAGAACATGTCATTTCACTACTGATAAAAGGCAGAAAAGATCGTTCTATTTAGCGTTAATTAGGTCTATATTTGAACATTGTTCTGTCATATGGTCCCCTCAATCTGCAACTCATCTTCAACAGTTTGTTGCTATCCAAAAGAGGGCTATTAAATGGATCAATGGTGAACCTTACTCCAGTTATAATGACGATAAACTTGCTACAGAGCAAAAGAAACTAAATATTCTCCCTGTTAAACAGAAGTTTATTTATAACGATCTTATGACCTTCTATAAAATAGTGAATAGCATAATTCCAGTTTCGCTCCCTACATATATAGTCCTATGCTGTCCAGAGGGCACCCGATACACTAGGCACAATGCTCAAATAATTGATATGTCGGATACTTCAACTTACATGAGTACCACTGTGCCCTGCTCGGATGCCTTCCGAAATAGCTTTTTTCATAGATCTATGCTGAAATGGAATAGTCTACCAGTATGTATCCGGCAGTCAGAGCGGATTTCTACTTTTAAGGCCAAACTGATCAAGTACCTCTGGGCTGCCGATACAGTCTGGCCAGATAAGCTCATCAGTCTTATGAGTCTCAGAAATTTGTTTTTGTTGGTTACAATTCTGTCCGTCCAATTTCCTATCTGCTTGTCCTTTTCTTTTTTCTTATCAGTTGTGACGGAATTGTAATGAACAAAATCCTTATAATTATTTATGATATGTTTGATTTCTTGTTAATGTTTGTCATTCAAATTTGGTAGACGGCCCCAACGTTAATGTGGCTCTTGCTATGTGTTGGTTCAGCCGAATTAATTATTATATAATCAAGTTTATTTTTCTCGTTAGTTGTCATCCGGCCAAACATTAAGCAACTTATATTGCAGTACCATTTACCATTTAGTATATCAAAATATGTCATTGTAATTACTAATTTTGCATGGCTGAAATGTAACGCTTGATTTATATATATAATGATTAATTGAATTTTCAAATTAAAAAAATAGGCATACTATTATTCAAAAACATTTATTATATGATATGGAGCAATTTAGATAAACCTAATTGTTTATATTTGAAAATATAATCCAAAATACAGCCTCAAAAATTGAGCATACCAAAATTGGCTTGATTGACACTCGCTGCAACCCCTTTTGATCACAGGCGAAGCGCGCAGCGGCTGGCTGTGCACGAGAGAGGTATACAACGATATATCCTTGTATCCTTGTACAACGTGTAGCAACGGCTTGGACTTACTTCCTTCTTTGACGGATGTTACTTGTCTAAATTTCTTCGAAGTAGCGTGCCCGAGGCAAGTGCTACGAAGTTTGATATGTTCTATGCCTGGATAGATCACTTTTCAGTGTTGTGACATGTTTTAGGAGTTGTTATTACTCTCTGCTTTCACAAAATAGAAGCTTTATTCCGTTGAGTTTTGAAATGTTTTTAAAACATTTTGATATCAGAGCTGCACTTTTGTAATGCTACTTGATTGTTAACTGTCAGATTATGATTATTTTTAACTCCTTCTTGTATTGACTGCTTCTGATCCATTTTAGATGATGAAAATAATTCAATCTGAAACATTGTCATTTTGTAAGGCTTTTCGGTGTCATTTTGTGAGGCATTTTGATCAAAATTGATGATCAAACAAACACATTTAGGCTCATCATAAGCTTACTGGGTTTTAGAATACCTATAATTAGGCACGGGGCATCCAATATAAATATGCCATCTTTGTATCATAAAATAAAACTGTCATTTTGTGAGGCATAACACTGTCATTTTGTGAGGCTAGGTCATTTTTTTGTCATTTTTTCTACCAAAGTCACTAAATCAGTTTTTTTATTTGACCAGAGTAGTCTTTGATTAAAATAAGTCATGGTAGTACCTGGTTTTCTGGGAAATATAGATTCTATGTCATTATCATTCCTTGAGAAGTGTTAATTAATATTTTTTCTTTCATACAGTAAAAGGAATAGGGTTCAATGTATAGGGTACCTAAGCTACAGCATGGTCTTTGTGGGTTTTTCCTTTTTTTCCCTTTTTCCCCCTTTTTTTGTTTTTACTTTTACCTTACGGTACGGTAACAAAAAAAACAAAAAAACGAAAAACAAAAAATTCATTTCGATTTTGAGCTATATTTTTACCATTTTATTTAATTGGTTTTTTTTTCTTTTTTTTCCTTTTTCTTCCTTTTTTGGTTTTTCTTTTTTTCTTTTTTCAAAAAACTACTTTTACCTAAACAAAAAAAACAAAAAAAACGTTATCCCCCCCCCCCCCCCCCCCCCCCTTATTAAAATCGGCAAGTTATTCCTAAATTAAAATATCTAAATACGGGAAAGAGTAGATTTAAATTCTAGAATCTAGTCATTCATCGTATTATAAAACAACATTTTAGATGTTCAGATAAAATTAATCATTTTAACACGTGACACAACATCATTAAAGTTATAAATTGTAATATTTAGTGAATATAGTGAAGAGAATGGAATAACTCAGAATAAAGATATGAATGATTCTAATTAGCATGCATTTTCTGATGTCTTAATAAATTTGATTTCCGAGCTGCTGCATACAAACAATCTGGACATTTATATGGTTTCTCTCCAGAGTGAGTCTTCATATGTTCTTTTATGTTTGATTTCCGAACTGTTGCATATGAACAATCTGGACATTTAAATGATTTATCTCTGGATTGAATTGTTACGTTATATTGAAGAGTAGCACGAATCTTTTCTTCAGGATCACAATTTTCCAGAGGAATGCAACCACTGTCTGATCTATTCCTGATTCTAGATCTTACACTAATATTATCATTATCACTTTGAAATTCATCACATTTTGGTATTTTTCGTTTGCCGGAGTTTTCTACATGATCTTTGATATGTTTAATGAAACTATCCTCCTCCAGAATCGTTTCCCCACAAACTGAACAGAGAAAGCCTCCAAACATGCCGTTAATTTCTATCTGCTCCGTTTTTACTTCTGATTTAACAACATCAGATCTATTTTGAACACAACAACCATCCTGTTCTGTAACGTAACCATTTTCATGAACAGAGTCTCCAGTAAATTCATTGAACAAACTTTGTTTCTCATCCTTTTCTAGTAATTGTAGGTCAGGCTTATAATGACGTTCCCTGACATGTTCAATAAAATACTTCTCATAAAAAAGTTGTTCACCACATGCCGGACACAGAAAACCTCCAGATTTGCTTATCAAATCCTCTTCTTCAGTCTTTACTTCGCTTTTAATGTGAGGACATGACATCTAAAGAGTATTCTTGTTAGATTAATAAAATAATTCAAGAGGAACTTAAAATCAGTAGTAATGTTATCAAGAATCAAGATTGCTGTGCATCTATTATAAATTTGGTACAATACAGTGTTTTGCAAGATAAGTTTTTGATGAATGAATTTAGTCAGAAATGGGAGATTTAAGTCAACATACATTATAAATAAGCAAAGAAGACAATTGCATTCCAGAAACTATATTTATTAACATGGGCATGAGAAATT